GCTGTTCTAAAGGAGGAAGCCAGCTTTTGTTGAACTCTGGCATTGACAAAGTGCCAGTCTGAATAACCCCTTGCTTTTTCAGATCCCTTCCTCAACAGGAGAAGGGCCAGTGACTTCATACAGTCCGACACCAGGCTCAGAGGCATCACTCAGGAGAGGTATGTCATGGCCTCAGGAGGCTGAGCTTGGGAGGGGGGAGACATTCCTCCTAGCCAAGACAGGCTGTTAGCAGGGGTGGCAGCCATGATGACTGGTGAGAAGCCTCAGTCTCTCTTCTAATGTGAGGTACCATTTCAGTCCCCAAGCCCAAGAAAAGTAAGAATTCAGATAACACAGAGCAGGTCCTTTGATTTGGAGACATGTCACATGATTAATTTTTCTGAAGGAAGCACCAACAGAAGGAGAGAGAATGAATGTGGGATGGTCCAAAAGAAAGCTCAGTTTGAGATCTTTTTTTAGTCCTCAGCTCTCATGCTGAACTTACATGACCTTTTCTAAATCAAAGGGCTATCTGAGGGCCTCCTTGCCTCATTTATAAAATACAGGCATAACTAATTTCATGCCTTATTCAAGGCTTGTGAAAATAAAGATTGAAGCACAGAAATAATCTCTTAGCAAGGCATAAGGCAAACCTTCTCCTCAGTACCAGTTGATCCCTTTGCAGAATATTTCAGGTCTTTTTTCTATGTATATGTTTGGAAAAGAGCAGAAGAGCTGAAGAGATCAGGCTGAGGAAGGCTGCAAAGGGAGGACCCTTCCTCAGTTTGAGGCAGGAGCCATTCCCCTCTTCCTACCACCTCACTTAGCCCCTAAATAAAAGGTGGCCTGAGGAGGCAAAACATTCCTGCTATAGTCCCTGGGTGTAGTAAACACAGAAGCTGGTGTGCTAAGAGCTCTGTAGCTGGATGACAGACTCTGATGGTGGATCCTTGTGGAATTTTTCATCACTCGGGGTCACCAGTTGTGGTGGTGTTCACAGGGGTCCCAGGACGAGGGAAGAGATGAGAATCTTGACTCCATGTTTCAGAAGGCTGATTTATTATTTTGTGATATATATTATATTAAAACTATACTAAAAGAAAGGATTTAATCAGAAGGCTAGCAAGGAATAGAAAAGAAATGGAATGATAAAATCTTGTGATGACCAGAGAGTCCGAGCCAGCTGGACTGTGATTGGCCATTAATTAGAAACAACCACATGAGACCAATCAAAGATGCACCTGTTGCATTCCACAGCAGCAGATAATTATTGTTTACATTTCATTTTTGAGGCCTCTCAGCTTCTCAAGAGAAAAGATTCTAACGAAAGGATTTTTCATAAAATGTGTCAGTGACAGATCCTTAATCCAGGTGGCGAGTTTCAGGACAGGAAAGGGCTGCAGAGAGATATTTAAGATGGCAGCACTTACCCCTCTTCTCTCCTGCCTTTCCAGGATGAGGGAGCGCAGTAAGGCACACTACGAGCACCAGAGGGAGCTCTGCGAGGACTACTACCCGTGCGAGATGTACGCCTACCGCCACGGCTACCCCGCCGCCTACAAGCACTACTTTGGGGGCAGGAGGAGGACCAAGTAAAGGATGGCCTGTCCCCACCCTGGGGCCTGGAGTCCAGGGTATCCTCCCCAAAATTGCAATGGCTCTGAAACATACTCAGTTGCTTGTATCCCTGTATGTTATCCTGCCTGCTGCTTCTCTCTCATGTAGCCATGGATTCCAAGACTGTGTTAATTAGCGCTGAGCTGATGTAGCAGAGATCACAGAGAGTTCAGGATGTGGGTGTTTACTACAAAATAAACTGCTGGTTTGATACTATCTTCTCATGAGTCACAGTGTTTTGGAAGGGGGGTATGCAATTTTCCATGAAGGAACTGGATTTGTGTATCATACATTCTGTAGCAGATTATGGGGAAAAATGTCATTACCTGGCAAGCATGTGGCTTTGGAAGACCTTATAATGTTCTTGTTCCAGGTTCTACAAGTAGCTTCTTTCAGAGGTCACTGGACAGTTTCAGCTCCCAGTCTTAGTCTAAAAACAGGGGGGTGTTCAGAATGTGAATGCACTTTTTGAAAATCAAATCTTTCCTCAGTTGGGGAAACAAAATCCAGAGGGCACCTATTTAATCTTAAAGCGAAGTCAGAGTGAGAGTTGGTGACAGAAAAAGCCTGTAAATTGCCTCTTGTTTATCCAGCTACCATCAGGTCCTGATATTAGGTGCTCCTTCAGAAAGGAGTGTGTTGTCCAGACTTAACTTGTATTTCCTTCTGCAATCCCCTTTCAAAACCCTTCCACTTGAAACTACTCTGGTAGCACTTGAAAGCTGCAGAAATCAAAGCTGGAGAGGGGCTCCTGGTGGTAAATAAAAAGAAAAAAATCCAGTGTTTGGGGTCAGAACCAACTTTGTTCACATAGAACCATTTCATTTGACTGTTCACAAATAGTTTGAAACCAGGATGTGGCTCGACCCTGTGCACAAGTTGCTGAGCCCTCCTGCACCTCTGAGGAGTGAGTATGGCTGCATTCTGCTCACCAGGGCCTGTCCCCAGGCCAAAAGGCACCAGTGCTGGCATGTCCAAGAATTCTGTGCTGCTCTGGGCTTGACAGCAACCACAGCAGCTGGGACACGCCTTGGTGAGATTTGTGTGGGAGGCATAACTTCCATCTCAGCTCAACACAGATGGTTTCAGCACTCACATCTCCAGGCTTACACAGGCACCTGCAAATTATAGAAGCTGGAAAGATCCATGGCATGCAAAGTCTGTGATGTATAAAGTATCCCAATGTTGACTAATCTGTGAAATTAAGTCTGGAGCCAAATCTACCTGGCTCATTAGAAACATGCATCTCCTTCCAAAATATGCTTCAAGGTTTGCCAGCTTTGAAACTGAATGTGATTTATTTATTGAAAACACTTCTGATAGGAAACTCCACCCTGACAGTTGCTAAAGTTTTGTCCGGAGGAAAAAGTGAGAGAGAAATAATTGTAAGGAAAAAAACCAAACCTGTGCAGATTAGGTATATTCACACATACTTGCTCTCTATGTGCTCAAGTAGGTGAATCTTGTCATCACTAATGAGAGCAAAATCACATATGCTAAAGTCAACAAGTCTGCAGTGTCTGGGTTTCACTTGACACTGCAGTGACACCGCCACAACAGAAGGGACAAGGTCTAGTGCTGCCTGGGTCTGTGTCCAGAAATATCCAGTGATTCCAATCCCCAGTTAACCAGTATAAATAATGAATAACACTAGAGATTTCTATGGGATTTCATTAGCATAGGCAACAACCAAACAGGTTTAAGAGACTACCTGCTGGTTAGAAAGCTTGGGAAAAGATGGGAGGATAAATAAAGCTGTTTGGATTACTAGAATTGTCCATTTATATATTTATATTATTTCAAGTATTCATCTGGAAGCATAACTTTCCTAGAATACCTATTATTTTTAGATGTTTATTTACTTTTTAACTGTTGCTCTTTTGCTGGAATAATATATATACAAGACCTTTTTCTGGACGTCATTAGTATATATATTCAGCTTTCCTGACTGTAGAAAAGTTAACAGGGACAAAAGTTAGGGTTTATTTTAATCCTGAAAATTCCCTAAGCTAAAAGACAGTGTTTCTAAGAATTGGAAAAATCCCTAATGGCTCTGATTTTCCTTGGAGCCTCCTCAACTTTACTTCTGTAGCCCTGCACAAGGATCTGAAGAGAACTAGATATGAAGTGGAGGAAGATTATATCTCTGCTACCAGAAAGAATGAGAACACTTGATTAAAAAAAACCACAAAACTACCCAAACTTGGTCACCTGATCTGTTCAGGCAGGAGGAGACCTCATTGCAGTGTTCAACATCCTCCTAAGGAGCCCTGATCGCTCTCTGGTGATCAGTGATAGAACCCAAGGGAACAGCTGGAACTGTGTCAGGGGAGGTTTAGTTTGGATATCAAGAAAAGGTTTTTCACCCAGAGGGTGTTTGGGCTGTGGAACAGGCTCTCCAGGGAAGTGGTCACATCACCAGCCTGACAGAGCTCAAGAAGAGTTTGAACAATGCCCTCAGGCACAGGGTGTGAGTCTTGGGTATCCTGTAAGGCCAGGAGCTGGAGTTGATGATCCTTGTGAGTCCCTTCCAACCCAGCATATTCTGTGATTCTGTGGTTCCCATGCTGTTTGTGGGATGTGGCTTTGGTAACTTTGGTGGTGAGTTTGGGGAGTGTGGGGTTATTGACACATAGCCCATGCAAGGCTCTTGTTGTACCAAGTAACTTTAGCAATCAGGTCCTGAAGAATAAAACAACTTTGGAGTTTAAATGTCTATTTGATTTTTAGCCAAGAGAAGCCAAGATAAGGCTTCTAAATTATGAAGATTTCCAGGAGAAAAATAGAAAGGTCTTCCCTCAAACTAAGTTCTGAAGTTCCTAAAAGCATAAAAATCTCATTTCTACAAAGTTATTTGGTGTAATTGTGAAACTGTCTGAAAAACTACAGTGTTTACTCAATGCAAACGGATTTACAGGTTTCTTTACCCTCAAGGTAATGAGTCAAGGTAGGGTGGAAGAAAAGATCACCATTGTGTTCAGTCTCATTTGAGAAACTCCACACGAGAGAGCCCCATCACGTGAAAAGAATTGCTCTACTTCAGTGTCAGCTGGTCTCTCCCCTGGCTTTCCAGCATGACAGAATGACTTTCAAGTTTGTAAGAAAAATGATTTTTTAAAATCCAGTTGTTTTTCTTCAACAGCCCCATTCAAAACCTCAGATAAAATCTTCTGGAAATGCCCCGAGCCATGAGATGGATGCCAAAATGACTGCCAGGACCCGGTGTCTCCCAGCCCAAAGGACGGGCTTTGTTTTGGAGCACACACACGGGAACACAAGCCAGACCCCTGATCTCTCCAAGAAATCACAGGATATAAACTCCTGCCCGAAAGCAAGCCCCGGAGAACTTCAATAACCTCCAGGAAAGCTCTGAGGTTAGGGAGACTAGCACAGCCAAAGAAGACATGAGGAGTCTGCTGGCACTGCTGATCCTGACTCTGGCCCTGGCAACACTCTGCTGTTGTGAGGAAGGTAAGGGGACATCTTCCCAGGAAGGCTCTCAGAGCTGCTGAGCCCTGCAGCTTGCTGTCAGCCTCCCTCCAGCCAGGGAGAGGCACAGAGCTCTGGGGGGAGGAGATCACCACCAGTCATTGCACAGCCTCAGGTCTCTGCTGGAGAGGCACGGGTGACAGAGGGCTTGGCAACAGAGACCCCCATCTTTTGCTGGGCATCTTCTTCCACTGGTCAACACCCACTCACCCCCACATCCACTGCATATTGAATTGCAGCAGGGAATTTGAACATTTTTAATATGTTTAAGATTTCAACTGGTTTATCATTTAGTCTCTTTCTAAATGATGGGTGTTAATAAAACCATTTTGGGAGAAACAGAGCTTCTATGTAAGTGGAGGGAACAGGATCAGTCAGTGGTGGGATTCAGTTACAGAGGAGGATGACTCACAAGCATAGAAGGACTCACAAGCAGACTCCTTTCTGTCTGTCTGTCTGTCTGTCTGTCTGTCTTCCAGATCCCAAAGAACCCTCAGGATCTCTCAGTGCTGACAGTAAGTATATCATTCTGCCTGATGCTCAGCTTCATTCTCCTGCATCTTGCCTTCTTTCTCCCCTTTGACAGGTTCAAGGGCTGAACAAGAACCATGCTGAGTCCCTCTCTAAGTCTTCCCTTTTCACTCCCTAGCTCTGCAGTCCCTGAGGGGCAGGAGCATGTGCAGCAAACAGAGCCCCTCCCGTGTGAGCAGGTGACAGGAGGCAGCCAGTGTCCCTGCAGCAGCAAGGCCAGCACTGCTCACCGTGTGCAGGCAGTTGGCAGAGCCTCCCTGCTCTGACCTGCCCTCAGAGACCTGCCCAGAGTGTCTGCTCATCCCCAAGCTGCTCTGAGAGCAGAGGCTGCCCACATCAATGGGTTGTGACATCCCTGCCAAACCCTGCAACAAGGAAACCCTGAAAGAGGGGGGCTTCCTTGGCTGCTCCTGAGTCCCTCCTGTCAGGTCACCTGGGATGCTGGGATTTGCACACCTTGGGTTGTTTACAGCTTCTGCAGCAAGCTGATCCTGGCAGAAATCTGTATGGAAAATCCTTTTTGTTCTCTCATGTCTCTCCTTTCTCACACTTTAAAGGATAACATTGCTGCTGAGAAGCATGAAAGCTGGTATTTTTCCAGTGAGCCAATACAAACACAGATTGGGAAAGAGAAAAAAAAGATGTAAAGACTATTCAGGGAAAGGTGATATTTTCTGACAATTCATTAACTGTCAGTTTCTGTGTAGTCAGTATTTTGATCCAGACTAAAGCTCAGTTTGCTTGAAATGGGGTACCTCTCACCTCCAAAGAGAAACACAGCCAAACACTCCATGATGATGAGGGAAGGGACAAACCCCACCATCTCCCCACAGGCAGAGATCTGAGAATCTTTTTTCCCCCAGAGACAGCAACAATTTGGCAGTTTCCACGCTGAAATGTGTATTGGTGTGCTGCTGCCTGTGTTGCTCTTGTGCCAGCACCTGTGCCCACCTCTGCTGTTGTGGGGCCATCCCATGGAGTGAGCCTGGGCTGTGCTGAGCCCTGGCTGGGGCTGGAAAGTGGCTGTGCCTGGTGTTTGTGGGGTCCTTCACAGCACCATGGTGTTGGCACAATGACAAATCAAGGCGGCAAAGAAGAAATCTGCAGACATAACGTGTTAGTGGAGAGCAGGGGCAAATGCTCTCATGGCTGAAACATCTCTTATGTTCTCCAGGTTCTGAATGCTGGAATCTTTGCACATCTTGGGTGAATTTCTCACTGGGTGATGTTTACTGTCACTATTTTATATTCTTCACCTTTCACAGAGCTCTGTACATGTGAGCACTGGTATTTCTGTGTGCTGCCTGTTGCTCATGACTCATTGGAGGTGCTTTAAGGTCTTCTGGTTGGTATCCCACATCATTCTCAGTCAGAGTCCAGACACAGAAAGAAAGCCAGGACTCTAAAATTAACTAGGCCAGGGAGAGAGGGTGCCATTCTCCTAATTTTGTTCTTATTCATATTTTATGCTTTCTGCACATTTTCTGCAGACTCAGACTATGCTGTGTGATAAGGAAGTGGAGTTTATGACAGAAAAAGCCCTTGCTTCATGGAGATGTGAAGGCTGCAGTGAGGAGGGAGCTTTGAGTGGACAGTGGGATGGGGAGAGATGAATGGACCACTAGGATGGTTTGTGGCAGTCATTTGCTTGTGAAGAAAGTAGATTCTGCTTTTCAGAGGTTGGACTGATGTCACGGACATATTTTATGAAAATTCCTTTTAGTAGGATTTTTCTCCTGAGAAGCTGAGAGGCCTCAGAAATTAAATGTAAACAATGATTATCTGCTGCTGTGGAATGCAACAGGTGCATCTTTGATTGGTCTCATGTGATTGTTTTTAATTAATGGCCAATCATGGTCCAGCTGTCTTGGACTCTCTGGTCAGTCACAAAATTTTATTGTCATTCTTTTCCATTCTTTTTCCTTGCTAGCCTTCTGATTAAATACTTTCTTCTATTCTTTAGTGCAGTTTTATTATATAATTTTCTTTTAACATAATGTATATAATAAAATAATAAATCAGCCTTCTGAAACATGGAGTCAAGATTCTTGTCTCTTCCCATGCTGGAGTTGCCTGTGAATTCAACCTTTGGTGACCCCGAGTGAGGATCAGTTCCACAGACTGGTCCGTGTTTCAGTGCTGCATCTCTAACCTGCTGTGCTCTCTCTTGGCAGGCATCAAGATTAAAAAAGAAGTTGCCAATGCCTTTGTGAAGAGGAAGAAGAGAGCCAGTCCTTATGAATGGTAACAGCTCAGGAGCTGGGCTGAGAGCTGGACTCTGGACCTGCTCTGAAGAGGGGGTGGGAAGGCCATAGGGCATGATAAGGCATTATTTTGTTGTATATCTATATTATTACCTTCATGTATTGAAGGAGAAAGTCTGTAGGAGACATTCAGTAATGGAAAAATGGTTCTTTTTTCATTAAAACCCATTTGAAGGCTCATAGCTGGACTCTAGTATTCCTCCCAGGGAGAAAGACAGCACTACTGTGGTGGCTATGGAGACAGCAGGATACAGATTATAAGGTGCTCCAACCTACAGGGTCATCAGAACCAATTTTTAGGATAATGAGAATCACAGAGCCTTGGTCATTGCCTCTGGTTTCCCTCAAAGGAACAGCTTTTCCCACAACAGCTTTGTTGCAGGAATAAGGCTCGATCAGCTTGGCTGTTCTTTCTGAAGCTGCAGAACATATATTTACTTGTGCCAAAAAGGAGGCACAAAGATTTGGAGAATCCCAGCTATTTGAGAAATTTCAGGTAATGCAAGGAAGTTCTTCATACGTTTCCTGGAAGAGGTTGTTAAGCTACTCTTTCCGATACAGAAATAAAGTAAAAATTCATGAGGTACTGGTGGGATTTCTGTGGTGGTGTATACAGTCTTCAGGAAAGATTAACCAAACATAGAAGAGGAATTGAGAATGACATCCAAAGTGTACAGCTGAGACTGTACACTTTGGATGTACAGTAAAAATATTTGGACTTTCTTAGCCTGGCAAAAAAGAAAAGAAAAAAACTACATGGAGATAATGCTCCTGTCTATAACAGAAGTGAGGATTGTTAGAGAGAAGTGTTTAAGCTAAAGGAAAATAATGGCTAGTGGGTAAAAATAAAGGTAAGCAGGAAATAATAAAATAAATATATAATTAAATAAATAACAAAGGAAAAAAATTCCTGCGTAGCTGGGGAATGAAATTGAAGACAAAAAAAAAAGCCAGATCCTTACAGCTTCTGTGGTATCCTTCACTGATAAAACCTCAAGAACAATTGATTTAATTTGGGTTCAATCCCATATTTCCCAGCATTGATCAAGCAGCCTAACCCTGTGCAAGCAGATGTTTAACTCAGCATGACCAGTGCTCTGCTGGGTCTCCCTGGAGGATTGCAGGGAGCATTGCCCCAGAGGATCACTTCTTTCCTGTCAGTGTCAGGGCTATGAGCAGCGCCCAGTGCCTGGGCTGAACCTGCAGAGCGCTGTCTGTGTCTCCTGCAGGTACCTGGAGTACTACAAAAGCCCGATGGAGCAGATGCACGAGCGCTGTGAGAACTACCCCCCCTGTGACTATCTCTCTGACCAAGTGGGGTTTGCCCTGGCCTACAACCGCTTCTTTGGCAGGTACTGACCGTGGGAAGGTCTCTGCTCCTTTGCTTGGAACACTCCAAACCCCACAGGAGAAAGAAGCTGTGCTTGGGAAGGAGGGAAGGAAAGCATCTGCACTGGCATCTTCTTCTGCTGTATCCCAACCAGCTGGAACGCCAAGGCTGGGATTATCCCACTTGTTGAGCTTCCATTAACTTTCTTCCTTTCACCAATAAAGTCTCTCTTCAAACAACTTTTATCGTATTTTGAGCTTCACCAGAAGACCCTGTCTTATTTCCTTCTACCTGAATCACCAGCACACAATATTTGGAAAATAGGGATTAATTTCAAGAAAACCACTGCATGCCTTAGAATCATCACTAGATCTCTTATCCTCTTCTGCAAAATACAGGAGGATTATGGAAGAAGAATGTCACAGTGTGTGTAAATGTGATGGATCTGATCCTGGGATGCTCGCTGTGAAGAAGGAAGAACACCTGACTCCTGTTCCAATTAGTGGGAAAGTTCAGTATTTTCGTGTAGTATAATCACATTAAATATGCATCACAGTAGGATCATTTGTAAAGAGAGAAGTGTGCAAACACTCTTGCATAGATAGCAATCAGCTTCTGGTACACTCAACTGATTACTCTGTCATAAAATTTGCTGTATAGCAACAATAAATAAATCTCAAAAGGTGTGTTTAAGGAGTCCTTTTAGATGATCCCAGCATTTATGTACTGCTTTTCATGACTATAAAAAAAGACTGAATTCTCTTGGTTTTTCTGGTTTTTTGGTTTTGATTTTGTTTCTTTTTTCCCCAACCAGCTCCTAGTGAAACTAAAAGTACCCAGCAGAACAAAAGAAAAAAACAACAAACAAACCCTCTTCTCCTCTGTTGCTTTTGCATTTATGCTTGAAGTACCTAGACAGCTAAAAAAAAAAAAAAAAAAAAAAAAAGAAAAGGAAAAAAAAAGAAAAGAATGCTCTAAACATTACGAAATTTAAAAAAAAGAAAATTTGTTCAAGGATGAATTGAAATTGGGGCAGTGTTTTGTTTATTCAAGACAATTGGTGGCTATATATATATATATATATATATATATAAAAAGTACATGTGTTTTTATCCACATATTGTCTTCCCTCTGCACTACTTCATTCTGTCCTCTGGCATTAATATTATACCTTAGCAGCTTTCTGCATAACCTTCCTTATTTACTCTGTCAGCTTTCCTTCCCTGAGGGGTGGACAGCGGATCACACCTCCAAGGACAGGGACTGCGGATGCTCAGGAAACTGGCAGAGTCAAATCTCTGGTTACATGTGAGCTGGTGCAACCATCCTCAGCTGCTCACTGCAATAAATACTGCTATGTAAAGCAGGCTGGTCTGCTGCTTCTTTCTGTTCCTCTGTACAACCTTTACCTGAGGTAAAAGAGATGCCTGGAAGACACGGCCTGCTTTTGTGAAGCCTGAGGAGCAGGAACCCAGAGCATGAGGCTTCCTTCTCCCCTCCCATGCATGCCCCAGAGTGAATTAGAAACGATGACACTGAAATTTAGGTCATTGGTTCAGGACTCTGTGACACTGAGGGAGAGGAGGGCCAGAAAAGCCTTGTGCTGCAGTAAGGACACAGGAGAAGTCCACAGAGGAGGCTGCCAGTGTGAGCCTTGCTTGGCAAGCTGCTGTGGCTTGCACTGCTGACACTGATTTTGGCCAAAGAGAAGACAATAAATGTCTTCTCTGCATGTCTTGGTCCAATACCTGTGACTGGTTCCTCTATTGACATAAACTAATGGGGCTTCACTGCTCACAGTAAAATCCTCCTCTGAATGCCATCTAGTAAAAATTAACAGAATGCTTAATTGAAAATAGTGAAATTTTTGCTTGGAAAAATACCAGAGAGATTAGCGGAATCCTAATATCCAGTGTACTAATAGAATAGGGGTATTTTGGTTGTTGTATGCTTTTGTTAGCACAAAAAGTTTCCTGTCTCTATTTGCATCTTTCTGTTAGTTTTATATTCTTTCTCTCCCTTTCAGTAAATATTTTTTTCAGGCAAAAAGAGTTACACCCGGAGGCCTCCATTATGTCATCTGCTCTGTGTCATCAGATCTCTTCATGGGCTGAAGTCATTATGACCTTTGGGGATCTGAGCACTCAGATCACGTTACAAATTTACTGCTGAAATGGAGGAATTCGATTGTCGCTTGGTCAATACAGCGCTAAGCGCCGCCACAAATCCTCTGCTGCCATCTTTCGGCCTATGTATTTGTTGTCGTTAATGATAACTTGCGTTTGGAAATAGAAATTCCTGTCCTCCTGATTCCCTTCATACGGAACATTCACTTACAGGTCAGAGGGGAAAACCAGGGACATAATTTACAAGTGGATTATATGCAGCTGAACTGACATTTTAGTGGGGGTGTTTATCATGACTGCCAAGCTCCCAAAGGAGCCTGGCCCAGTTTAGCTCTGTTTTATCTCTACACAAACAGAGGTGGAGTTGCCTTTGAAAAAATTCGTGAGCCCTCCTGTGAACTCACTTTTAGCAGTCAAACAACCACTTTGTGAAATACAGCCCAAGATAACAGAGACATTCCAGGATGGAGAAGTAGGTAGTCTGCATCCATCACTTCATGGCATCATCTCATGTCACCTGCAGCAACTGCTTTGAAAGGAGCCCAGTATGAGACCTTTATGTTGCCCCCCACCCTATCTCAGCAATATTTTGTAGATGCTCTGTCCACTGACTCCAAGCAGCTTCACAAACCTCCCTCATCTCACGGAATCACTCTATGTCTGGAGGTGCCCCCTTCACCCAAACTATCATTATCAGGCCATGAAAAATGGGCTTCACTTTTCTGTAGTCAGGACCAAAGCCTTGACAGTTCTTGGCCTTTTTTCCATACAGAAGAGTTATCAGAGGCCATGGGGCTCTGTGGGTGAATAACTCACTGCCAGTATTTGGAAGGGTGTCCAGAAAGAAGCTGCTAGAGAAAGGTTTGTCTCAGCACAGGATCTGCTTTTACACACTCATTTTGGCTGTGCCCGTGCAAACAGTCCAGCAAAGCGCCACTCTGCAGTGCTGTAGGAGGAGGATTGGCAGCACAGGAGTAGAAAGTAGGGGGTGATAAGGAGGAGGAGAGTTAGGTTATCACTGCTTCCAGATGGGATCCCAACCTACCTTGCACTTCTGTGTTGGCTTTATCAGAGTCAACTTCTTTAAAAGGGCTTTTAAACTCTTAACCAGGGAGCAGTCACCCTGACACACCACTCCTCAGGAGGAGTGCCTTAGACTTCTCCGAGCCATGGTTTTCTTCCTTTTTGCAAGAACAACACCAAATACCTTGGAATCAAAAGAACTGTCAAGGTGATGGACACTCATGCCAGCTGAAGTTGGTGCAACCAGACACTTCCTTATGGATTTTGGGCACATTTCTGCCAGTAAACTGTCTGCTTGGATTGATTAATGACTTCTGAATTGCGGTGAGAATTTGGCAAATGATCTCTGGTTGAAGAACAGCCACGAAAAACTGAGTGAAAATTACAAACTGCAGAATTTTCCAGTTCAAAGAAAAACAGAAAGAAATAGGTGCAAATTACCTTTCCTTAAAAAATAATGTTCTTTACAGTGTCTTGGGTGGACTCTGGGAAGCTGGTGACACTAGGCAGCCTCCTGTTGCTGATCGTCTCACAAATATTGGTAAAAGAGGTAAATATTGCTCTTTATTTGAAATAATGAAATTGCTTATACCACAGAAATATTTTTTTTCCATTTGAAATGTATTCTTTAAGGAGTTTTGGGTTCAAACTTTTCTGCCTTCAGTTCCTCTGTTCCATTTCTTACCTGTCTTAAGTTGTTTTAGTTACTTGGTTGGAATTTTCCTCTTGTTTGCAGCCAGATGATTTCATAGAGCGTTTGTGAATATATCTCATGGAATCTTTCCTCTCCTTTTCCAGCCTGTCTATATTGACAATGCTCCTGGGAGATTCTAACGTAGCACATCCATATCAAATAAGAACTCTGTCATCCTGACCTGTGGTGGGGTATAGACAACAACCTGAGGTTGCTCAGGAGGGTTTTGCTAAAGATTTGTTACCTGCCTTGCTTGCTCTGCCAATAATGACAAAGAGGCAAGGAAAGGGTAGAGAAAAACTTGGCTTGCATCCACAAAGATAAACAAGAAATTGTCACTTCTGATGCTTATCTTCATTTGCTTTTGTGTTGCAGGCTGTGTCCCCCATCCCGATGGATATGGCTCTGCAATCCTTTGACGACCAGTATCTGGGGTGCAGGGAGGAGATGATGGAAGAACTGGAGCAAGGGGACTATTTCCAAAAGGAAATAGCTGCTAACAAGGACTACCTGCGTCTCTGGAAGAAGGCTCAGGAGGCTTTGCTGAAGAGCCCTGTAGGTCTGCTGAGGGAAATGCGTGACAGCCATGCCACAGCCCTCATGGCTTACTCCATGAACTCCTCCCTGCACTCCCAGCTGAACTGGGCCACATCCACAGCAGGAATCTCTCCAGAGCACTACAGACACAACTTCAGCTTTAAATACTTTCACTTCTACCTAACAACTGCTATCCAGATATTGAAGGAATGGCAGAGCAGCATGGGGAAACATAAGTGCTACCAGGTGCACAGGGGTGTAAAGGATTTATATATCGAGGCCAAGGAAGGCAGCAGGGTGCGATTTGGCCGTTTCACTTCTACCTCCCAGCTCAGGAGTGAAGCTCAGAAGTTTGGGAATGAAACCTTGTTCACAGTGACCACTTGCCTGGGAGCAGCTATGCAAGGCTTTTCTTACCACACATCTGAGAAAGAAGTCCTCATTCCCCCTTATGAGATATTTCTTGTCAAAAGCTTCCTTCAAACCCAGCAGGGTAACCGACTGCATCTGCATTCTGTAGGGAACTACAGCAAGTACCAGTGCCAGCTGGTGGAAGGTATTGTACACAGGCTCCCATGCAAGGGGGCACAGGACAGGCTGCTCTCCACTGCCCCAGGCAGCCCTCACCAGCTGCACCCACATGGGGCCACACTCAAGGCCAAACCTGTAGCTCACTTGCTACAGGTGTTTGCCTATGAGATCCACAAGAACCAGATTTTACCCTGTTTCAGTTTGCTGTGAAACCTGTGACAGCCCCACAGCTCACTAAAGATGAATCAACAGCAGGTCTCAAGGCTCTTTGCAGCCTCCATTTATCCCAAGTGTCATTGCAGCCCCCATTTATCCCAAGTGTCACTTCAAGGATGTTGTAGGACTCATGGCTTTGGGTCCCCAGCATTGTTATTGCAAGAGTGGGTGAGATTTGCTTGAACCAAGTAATCTATGCTGGTGTCTTGCAATGCTGCTACACTTAACGTTTCAGGACTATTCTAGGCTTTGGTCCACTACAACTGCGGCAAGCTAACACTTCCACACTTATCTCTGGCAAGCTGAGAGAAGTGTAAACAAAGCTACTGTCATTTTAGCAGTGACCTCTCTCCTAGAAGGGAGAAAACGTATCCTTTGACAAAGAACACACTGAGTTTCCTGGTTATAGAGAGAGCTCTATGCTGGAATACCTCATGGGGCCTATTTCACATCCCTGCCTTTCTGTGAGTCTACTACCAGTCCAGGACTCTTGCTTTTGTCTCTTTGTTCAGCAGAGTGTCAATGCGATCTTTGAGCTCAAAACTATCATTTAGGAAGGAGGGTTTGTGCCTCCAAAGCCAAAATAATAGATAAAGTTGAGAAAAAGGTCTTTGTGGGCAGAGGTTGTGTTGGCAAAACCAAAAAGCTTTAGGCAGTGAATAGAGGTCTGAGTGACTGCTCTCTTTATTTTCTTTCAGCTTCAAGAAGCAAGAACAGTGGTTATACTGCACTCACCGCTGCCATTCTCCCAAGTGTGCTTGGAGTTTCCCTGTGCTTGGCCCACAGTCTCTGATTCTCTGGCTGCATCCAGATATGTGCCCTTGAATAGTAGGCAAGAAGCTTCTGGAGTTCCTGCTGCTACAGAAGGTTCAATCTTCCCTCTGCTTTCAGCTGCAACTCTGCAGCTGAGACTGCAACATTCAGCCTGGTTCATCCAAACAGACATTCCCTGTACCATTCAGGTAGGAGGAAGGTTATCTATGGCCTTTCTGAAGATTAGATCAGGGATAACCTTCACTGAAGACAGCTTTGTCCTGAGGCATTCAGGAAAGACACACAGGGACTTTGGACTCCTTACAGATCTCTTAATAGCTTTATTTTTAGTGAGAAGAGTCAGTCTGTGGGATGTGGAAGGCACCATGGCAGTAAATTTAAGTGGATAACTGGGCAGCTGTGCACATCTCCTTTGGGAGCAGGGAAAGGTGGTGCCAAGATGTGCATTGAGGAGTTGGATTATTGGTTTGGCTGAAGAGACAGAGAAGTGCATTAAGTTGTGCCGATTCCGGCAGACCCTGAACAGCCTTTCTTTGCCACTCTTAAAAAAAAGATGAACAAACATTTCTGGAATGATGTCTGACTCTCAAAAGCAAACAGAGGAAATCCAGAAGGTGTTATTACAGGGCAATTAGAGAGGAATAAAGGTGGATATATTTTTTGCTCGATTGTGACATTTCTGAAATCAATTTTCCAAACTGCTAGCTCAGCTGACCCATTCTTCCCCAAGACATTAGTTGGAAGAAAACATAGAAAAAGTTCTTGACAGCCTTTGCTGGGACCTTACCAAGCAGCCAGGAAAATATGGTGTAAACAACAGCAAGTATTGTTTCCCTGATGGCTGCAGGAAGTATGACTTTGACCTGCATTCTTCAAAGTAAGGGAAGTGCTGTAAATTAATTGGTTTTTGGTAAATTTGTGCAAGTCCTAGAAAATAACTACTTTGCATCATCCCCAGAACTATAATGCTTCAGTTTGCAAATACTGGTGGGTCTACACAGAACTGAACAGTCATTTTTGGGTGGGGGGAATAGACACAGCAAAGTCAAACTCATGACATCTATGTTCAAGGGACAAAGCAATTGAAGACTGAGTAATGCCATGTTTTGTCATGTTACAGTTCCCTTAAAAGTGACTTATATTAGTCAGATAATACACTGACTAGATGGTGCAAGCATCCCTTGGTAGGTGGAAGCATAAAACATTCTCCTTGCTTGGGTGCCCATCATGATACCATTTTGACTGCTAAGAAAGTTATGTCCTTCTGCTTGCACCTCTGAGTTCTCCCAAGGCCAACCAGAGATACAGTCCTGGGATAGTGTGCAGCTCAGAGACTGCTCCTGATGTTGCCTTTGCTTGTGCCAGAGCCCTGTCAAGCTGAGCTGGTTGCAGCAGACATTTCATCAGCTATTGCTGCGGTTAGATGTGTAGTCAGCAGTGTTCAAGCAATTGCAACTTCCTGTCCCACTGTATATTTTCAAAACCTTAGTTTCTGAACTCAGTTCAACCATCTGCCTTTTCCTCTATTTCTTTCCCATGGCAAAAGGGGTCTGAAATTGCATGAAATGGCAAAACTGATTTTAGCCTTCACTGCTGTTCAGAGCTGAGTCTGGGCTTCCACAACACTTCTACTCTCATGGCATCAGAGACCTGGCAAATTGCAGCAAGAAAGGATGACTGACACCCCAGATCAAGTATTTTCCTCCAACTTAATAGGCCTGCAATAATAGCTATTAATCCTCCCAAAAGATCCAGAGTAAAGCAGGAACAAAACTGTCTTCATATTGCTCAAATTATTTTCTGTCTTGTTCCAAACGATGAGGGCTCTAAAAGAAAAGAATTTGTATCCTCTGCAAACACAGAAGACCTGAAATCAGTTTCCAGAATGTGACCCACAGGCAGCTGCCAGCCTGATCAATTCAATTCACTTCAATACTGCACGAAGTATTTCAGGACTACATGGCATCCTCAGTGGAAAATACTCAGCAGTCACAAGTAATTGACATTTCCAGAACTATAGCAGTTAAATCATTTAGTGTTCTCTTGCAGCTTATGTTCTCATGCCCACAGGTCTGACAACAAGAGAGTTTGGCACTCTGGCTGTGTTCATTAGAGTTGAAAACAGCAGCTCAGCTTTCAGATGAAAACACGTTAGCGATTGCAAAGTGCACATTTTGTGCTTCATCTTATGTTTTCATCTGAGAACTCAGCCATCCTCTAGAGTGGAAGCAGTGTTCCTAGTGAGACCCTTGTGGGCTGCAGGTCCACCTTTCTAAGGACAAGAGCATGAAAGATGTCTAGCTTGGTTGAAGGCATATGTACAAGCTTGTCTTACTGGAACAGACAAAGCCTATTTCCACTCTCTGTGGTGTCTATTTTTCAGTTTATGTGGGACCATTCAATTTTTCTTCTGTAATTTGTAGGTGTACAAAAGCAGTCATTGCAAAAATTCTTTATTTCAAGGCATAGGTGCAAGCATGAATGTTTATATATACAAACAATAGAAGCCAGCAAAAAACATAATCTTGTATCTATTTGAATTAGAAGTGCTGTCCTACACCTTTTATGTTCTGAGGACAGCAAGTAGCAGCATCCCCTTTCAGCCATGGCTGTAGCTGCCTGTGATGGCACCTCTGCAGGCAGCAGGAGGGATTTGTGCTGTACCCATTCCCTCCAGGAACAGAAGGTTTTGGAGGATGTAGTGATTGGGAACTAGCATCAAGTAAACTGAATTCTCTTAAAATTGGAGGGAAGGGCAGAGGAGGAAGAAAATGAGATGAATCTGGGTAAACATCACACAATAGAATTAATGACAGGCAGGCACAGGATGCAGCTGAAGCCCAGCCTCTGGATCCCTAACTCATCACATGCTGCTGGAAAACACCAGGCGAGCAGAGGGGAAAGAGGCTGAAGTTACTCTCCCATACACATTTCAACAGGAGCATTCAGACCAAATCAGGTAGGCAGTGTAAATGTTTAATTAGAAAAGTTTCTGTGGTAAATCTCCACAGAGAAGTCACTGGAGAAATAGAAATATAGAAATTTATGTGGCCTGCCTAATTCTAAAAGGAAAATATAAAAGCTAATGAAAGTGCTAATGTGAAGAGTAAGAAGTAATTTTAACATTAGGAGATAGAAAATCTAGAGCAGCTGTAAGAAGCTGAAATAATCATATGTAATGAACAGATTCTAAAAGTCTTCTCCACAGCTGTCTAGTATGTAAAATGTCTGTTTGAGTGTTATTCCTTCTAAAACAATTTGTCTTCTCAGTTTCTACCAATAAGGGAAAACAAATGACCTTACAACAAAACAGCACTGGAGTGGAAAGGTTTTAGTATCACATTGAGTCAGAAAGCAAGACAGCAACATCCCTGAGGCAGGATTGATATGAAATCATAGCCTGCATTATCACGGCTTTATGTTTCCAGAAAATCCCAAACCTTTACTGTAAATGTATTTGGCTCCCTACAGCTTGTATAAGAAGATGTTTTAAGCAGTTTATTCTCTTGGCAGAGATTCAAGGTAAGTGGCTGAAAGAAATATACAGTACTGTGCAAAATATTGGGGGAGAAAACCTCTTCTCAGACTGGCTTGTGTTTCAACACTGAGATTAAAAGTTGGCAGGGGATTGTGGAATTCATTCTGGTTTTCCACAGTGACCTTGTGGGGGAGGGTGTGTTTAGTAAAATACAGCTGGGTCAGTGTCAGATGATTTGCAGCTAACAGATAGTGCAAGAACTACAAAGGACCAAAATGGCACAAAGGTATCTTTTCAAGATGAAAAATCTGCGTAGTCCCCTACACATAACTATTTGTAGCTCTAACTGTGATATGTAGGCACTAACAACAAGAAGAGAAACATCTTAGAAAAATGCAAAGCACTGCACAAAAGTGGCCCAGATTTGCAATAAGAGGGCTGAGACCATGAAAAGTACCAACAAAGAAATGAGTCATCCTACTCATTCATAGTTTTCCCCTGTAGCAAAGATGTTTGCATTTAAGATGAAATAATGTTAAAGCATTTTCACTTTGCAGCTGGTGAAAGGTTAAAGGAAGCGACAGTGTTGATTACAGAATCTTAGTGATGAGGAATTACTCTATGATCACTGTTAACTCAGTCTCTTTGGACTCTGTGTTGGCAAGCAGTTTATGAATAAATAAATATCAGGGAAAGAAATACAGTGAGAGATATATGTAAGGTGATATAGGTTAGGATGGGGTTATTATAGACAATTTTACTATTCATTATGAATTCAGAGGTTAAGCTTCTTAGTATAAGCACAGAAGGCTTATATAGTATCATTTTCTCTTGAATGTAAGAAGAATAAGGCTATACTGGCATAAAATACCTTTATTGTGGCACAAACCATATCCACCAATCATCATGGTTGCTGAAAAATTGAATGCCACTAAATGGATGTAATAGGCTGATACAAAAGAGTGCCTGGAACAACCCTTTAATATTTAAGCCACATCTTTAATTTTGCTGATTAGATGAGATTGTTTCATTTTTGAACTAGTGAACTAGTTCAGCTTCTACCATCTTCAGTTTCCAAGGTTCAGTTTCAATATCAATCTTCAGTTGCCAATGGCTCACATCTATTTTTCCAACCTGCTCATTACATATTTGTTACCTATTTTTGTTGCTCTGAGCATAACTAATGTCTTACAAGGTGCTTTTCCAATCACTTGGCAAAGATCCAGAACAAGATTAAGATTTCTAAATTTACAAGCTATGCCTTGGGGTTTGACCTGCTCAGTATGAAAAGAACCAGTGGGGCAGAGACAAAACAGAATTCACTGCTCTTTAGGGGCTATGGTTATGGGTGTTAATCAGAGTAAGAAATGTCTTTTCTCTCTTGAAGTAGCCTTTTTCTGAAGAATGGCATTGAGTGACCTCCTTTACCCAGATAATCCCAAGAGAAAGCAAGAACTGATCCATCTGCATCAGGAATTGCTTGACTGTATGTCCACAAATTTCCAGGCAACAAACGAGCTGGTTGGAGTGCTGAATGAGCACCTGGGCTGCACTATTACCCCCATTGAGATGAGAGAGAGCAGTACAGTCAAGGAAAACTGTGAGAACATAATTCAAGTGATGAGTGAGATTCAGCACCAGGTGCAGAAGATTGACAGCGACATGAAGGACAAGCTCGAGCCAGTGCTGTACCAGAAGCTATATGATATCAAAGAGCCCGAGCTGGAGAAAATTGCAATAGCCCAGAGAGTTTTTTCCATAATTTTTGGAGAAGCAACTTCAACAGCTGCAATGGTAGCTATCAAACTTCTTGGCTCCAATCATTTAACTCTCACTGTGAGCAAGCTCATCGGTGTCCTCGCGCAGATTGGGGCCTCTGTTCTTGGGGGAGTTAGCATCACCATCATTGGGCTGGGCCTGGAGATGATTCTCCATGCCATCCTGGGAGCTGTGGAGAGGAGCCAGCTGCTGACAGCTGTGAGGAGCTATGAGAAGCACCTGGCTGAGTTTAAAGCAGCCTCAGAAAAGTACCAGCGTGCCATACATGAGGTGACTTCTTTGGTGAGACAGCAAGTTCAGTAAATGAAGGTGGAGTTCTCTCTCCTGCTGTCACAGCAGCTGCAGCAGCTTATGCCTGCAGAAACCTTTTTGATTCATTATGACAAACAAACTACTGATGGATTTTATTTTCTTATTTGTGGCAGCAGAACAAGAAAAGAGACAGTTCAGGAAACTGGCACTGAAACACATTAATAAAGAACTGGTTTACAGGTGATTTGGGGGGCAATGTTTCAAATTGCACCTTTGCACCTTTCCTTAAGCTTATTTTCTGGGAAGCACTGTAGGTAACCTTGAACTGGAATTCATGCTGGAGACAATAATACAGACTGCTGGACTGGTAGTGGTGAGAAGGTGTGTTTCTGTATCAAAGATGACAACACAAAGGGAGAAAACAATTTCAACAAGGCAAAGCATGTGGAGGCTTTATGAAGACATCTGTGGTTGCTAAACCCTTACTGTGGTTTAGTGCTTAATCTGATAGACTGAATTCAATCACAAGAACTAGCTGAAGCATATTTAACTGCTATTTTCTGCCCTCCTAAGGAGCCAGCAAGAGATCTTCTTTAAATAAACTCTAATCCCAGTAGATTGGCAGGTAAGAGAAGCCTGGGCCTACATGCAAACAGACACAACCTTGCTCCACCACTGAGAGAAACCAGCTGCTGCATTCTGGGTGTACCTGGCCATGAATAACCTCTTGTGCTTGTGACGCTCTGCTCCTGCCAACCCATATGTAAAAATTTCTGTGCAAAGTTGCTCTTTTGTTGACTGGAGTGGGATAATACACATGTACAAGTGCATGCAGGATTGCAGCCCTATTAAACTAAAGTTATTTTCAAGTGCTTTACCTGATCCCACCAATGTGAGACTGCCAAGAATGTTCCCAGATTCTGCATTTCACAATATGCTACCAACTGTCCTTATTTTTCAGATTTTAAAACCAAAGCTGGAAGCAAGAAAATTATTTGTAGTGTCTTGCTGTGATTTGCTGTGAATTGTTTTTTCTTGATCTTAGAAAAAAAGGTAATTTAAGAATTAATAAAAATGTACATGCGTATTGGAAGACTTCTCTTTTCTGTACTTGCTTTGCTTTGTTTGAGTTGTTTTTTTTTTTAATCTGAAAACAAATCTTAAACCAAATAACAAATAAGTATTAAAAGCTTCATTATACAAGCAATTTTTTTAAATCCATGATAGACCAATCTAGGAGGGTTGTGCATAGGTTCCTTTTTTTAGTACCCACTTCCCCCATACTAAAATCATATCCAAATTCATGCATGTTGGCTAATATTCAATATTAGCAATCTTGATTTATTAATAAGTAGAGAATGCCTATGAAATAAAGAAATGGGTAATATTCACAACCCTTCCATTCTGGGGTTTGGGGGGGGGTTATTTGTTTGTTTTGTTGGGTTTTTATTCTCTTCTCTCTAATATTTTCTGACTCCTGTTTTATGCACAAAAGCCACTAGATGGCAATGAAACTGCTGGTACCCAGCAGCTCTGCCAAGTCATCAGGGAGAAAGCCCAGGGATCAGGAGCAAAGATGGGAGCCAGGGCCTGAGAAACTGGGACCAGCTGCAGACTGGGCTATGTGAGTCAGGAAAGGCACTCCAGCGGCGGCAGAAAGCACTGCCTTGCCTGCACGAGGTATTGAGGTGGATAACGTGGTGACCTGAGGCATCACTTCTCCAAGATGGAACATCTCCTGTCTCCTGACACAGATGGCACTCAGTTTAGAGGTACTTCTGCAGAGGCAAGAGACTGTCAGTCAGTAGAACAGCAATATCTGTGTATTGGAGAGGCAGGAGTTCCTGGCTCCTGTTCCTATGTGCAAATGTACACTCTAAACTAGGAATTAAAAACAGCTCTTTAAGAGATTGCCAATCACTGCTGTATGAGAATAGTGGAGTCAAAGAAAAACAAATCTGTTGTATTTTTCAAGCAATTTGCCCACACGTTCTTGAATGCAAATGCTAAGCAATGTCAGGGGAAGTGAGGTACACAATGAGGAACACAGAGCTATAAAACTGCCTTTAGGTATATCCTTGTTCCTGGTGGACTTAAAGGAAAGCAGGCTTCCACAAAACAGATTTAATTCCTGCTCTCTCTAATGCTCTGGCCAGTCTTATGTTTGGAGCTCCAAAGATGTCATAACCAGTCTGTTGATATTTCCCCTCCAGACTCCTTCAAGCTGCCTCTCAGTGTCACAGAAGTACCAAGTGAAAAACGTGAGAGGACTTTTGTCCTCCAAATCAGCAGACACAGCTGAGAGAAAGCAGTCAGGGCTGAGGCAGCTCCACTGTCCCCACTGAGCCCAGGAGTGCCAGGACAGAAGACCCCAAGCCTTGTGAGGGGCAGCTAACCTTCAGAGACTCAGCCATCCCCCTCTACAGTGGCATGGCACCTGACAGGGATGTGTATGGCCACAGCTTTCCATCACATCCTCTTGAGTGTTCTGCCTTTGCTCAAGCTTTTGTTCTGGACAAACGATTAAGAATTAAAACTGAGATATATGTGTTCCGAATAAGAGCAGCCTAAAAAAACCCTGCAAATCAGCCCAAACCAGTGTAAGCTGCTTCCAAACCTACGTGGAAAAACAGTATGGTTGCAACCAAAATCTGCACAGCTGAATATTTTTTTCTGGTGACAACAATAATACAAAAAGAACATGCCAAAGAGGCACAAGGTGGGGGTGACCATGCTGTGCATGTGGTTAGCAAGACCACTCTGTAGGCACTGAGAGCTCCTGAAGCCTTGGCTCTGAGGATGCTCCTTGACTTTGACTTTGTGCAGCTTGTGACTAAATACTGTAAATGCTGGCATTAATGTGATGTATAGCTTATAGTCCTTTACCCATCCTGCAATGATCCTTACAAATTAGTCAACTGAGTCTCCATTACTTGAAAAATTATAACAACATTTTGTTGCACACTATGCTCACCAGGAGCAGGGAGTCTAGAAATCCTGTCCAGGGATCTGACCACCTCTGCTCCCAGATGCCACCTGTGCAGAGAAAAATTTCCTTTCTACATCTCCTCCCCAACATGCTAGTTCTTTAAGCCTGCAGCCATACTTTATTGTTTGCACATTGATGTTTTGTGCATCTTCATCCTGGTTCTTCACACGCTGTGGACTTTTGCTGGAAATTGTGCTTCGGACGATGGCACAAAACAGCTCCCACCAGGTGTTCTCCAGCCTCACCAGTTCACCACAGCGGGGGCTGTAGGAAGAGACAAATACCAGAGTATCTTCTGTGGTGTCCGACGGCACCAGATTTTCATCAGATTTCGTACAGAGGGGTCCCAGCCCCGCTCGCAGGGGAGCAGCGCTGCGGGCCTGCAACAAACCATGGAAGGGCCTGGGGCTGTGGGCAGTCCGTGCCCCCGCAGCGCTCTGCACCTATGGACACACGGACAGCGGCTTCCCACACGTCCCTCGGCTCTGCCTTGTTTCAGGGCACGGGGGGCACTTTGGGGGATCCTCCTGGAGAGCGTGAGGGAGCAGAGGCCGCGCTCGCAGCCCTGTTTCCAGCGCAGGCCGTACGGGAGCATCCCTCCGGCACCGCGTGTGTCCACCCGCTCCCAGAGCCCGCTTGGGCCGCCTGGGTGCTGGTCTCTATTGCCATCTCTATCGCTATCTCTATCGCCATCTCTATCCCTGTCCCTGTCTCTATCTCCGCCAGTCCCCGCTCCCGCCCCGCCTTCCCGCCCCTCCCCAGCCCCAACCATAGAGTTGAGGCCTCCGAGGGGGAGCGAGCGGCGGCGGAACCATCGAGCCGCGGCCGCTGCTTCCGGAGCGCGGCTCCGCGCCGCCACTCGGTGCCGGTGCAAGATGGCGGCGGGGCCGGGGCGGCGGCGGGCGCGGGGCTGAGCGAGGCCGCGGCCGCCCGAGGGAGCCGGAGCCGGGCCCGGCCGGCCCAGGGGTGAGAGCGGCGGGGCTGGGCTGCGGGGAGAGGAGAGGCGAGGAGGGGGAGGCGGCAATTCGCGCTGCCTCATTTTCTTCCTCCTGCCATCGAGCGGGAGTAGGAGGGGGGGGGGGGGCTTTCTGCCCCGTTCCTCTGTCGCCAAAAGAATAATGAATTTAGTGCTTGATTATATATATTTATTTTTTTCATCTTCAGCCGTTAACTTGTTGCGTTGAAACTCTTTAGTCTGGGTCCTTAGAAGATGTGAAGTCGAGGTTTCAGAAGTTTGTTCTCTTTCTCTTTAGCCTTTAAATATTAGAAAGTTGGGAAATAAGAGGTGTAAATGTAACTTCTACCTGTGTTTGGTGAGCTTCCCACCTAAGGAAACGATAGTGTCTTGCAAAAGCAAAAAACAAACCCACCCCAGTGCTTTGGCAGGGAAGCAGTTTTGGAGGGGAAGGGAGAGAAGAAACATCCCTGGCTGTGGTTTGGACACTTACGTAGTCATCTGTAAGCTGGAGAGATATCTAAAGACAGGACATAATTTTTTGCAGAATGATCCTACACTTGCTGATACAGTGGCTGGGGAGAGATACCAGGGGCAGTTAGAAGTCTGAGGAAGGGAGGAGGTCTATGGGGAAACATTTGAAACAGAGGAAGGTGAAAACTGGAGAGCACTTACAAGAGTGAATGAGAAGATAAACTCCGATACGCTCTTGGAAAAATAAAATATGTGTTTTTCCCTGCCCTGCAGCCCTCAGTACTGTAAGCACAAAGCTTTTTGGTTTGAGTTGTAATGTGAATAATAACAAACTCATCAATTAGCTTGAAATTATAAGCTACTAAAGTAGCAATAAGTATGTACTTAGTTAAATAGTAGTACTTTGTTGGAGTAGGGCAGTTTTGATACAGGTGCTGAACTCATAGTCAAACCTTAAAGGTGTTTGGGCTCTTTGAGGGAGTAACTTGCTGATATACAAAAGAGAAACAAGCATCCTCAAACTACCAATGTGTAGGACCTGATACCATGTCATCTTTTCCAGGTCCCTCCCTCCTTTTTAAGTTTCATTTTTTGAGGCGGAAGAAAAAAAGATCAAAATGGGGCGGAGATCTACATCATCCACCAAGAGTGGGAAGTTTATGAATCCCACGGATCAGGCCCGTGAGTATCCATGAAAGCTGAGCAGGGAGGAATGGGGAGTGCCTAGAGGAGCAGGTAAAAAGCTTTCTCTGAGAGTAGAATCCTCAGGATAGAACTGAGTTTCTCTAATTTGAAAAGTATTATCTCCTATTTCTCTAGGAGATAATAATTTCTCTATTATTTGAAAAGTTTTGTCTGGGAAGGCTGCTTGCTTTCATGCTCCTGCTTCTCTCAAGTATTTACCTCGTGGGTCTCCACTGGTTATCAGTGTTGGAAGGCCTTTGTACTTAGCTGCTGGATAAATGCAGGCTGCTTCCTGGGACAGAGTTAATCTGTCCCAGGCAGGAATCTGAGGAACATGTCAAGTTTTGCAGGTGCTCTGGTTAGATGGGGGAGTTGTCTTACTGTTTTTTGTCTATTTTTGGTAACATGCCAGGTGCTATCAGTGCTCAGTGAATAAAGAAAATCCGGACTCCCACAGTGGATATGCTTTATTTCAGAGGCATTCTCAAAGCCTACTTATTTTTAAAGTGTGCTGTCTGATGACTCTGTTTCAGCTTCTGTGCAGCAATCTTTTCATGATTGCACCTATCACTATGACTTTGGTTGCCTATTGTTCTTTTTTGTATGGCAAAAGCCTTGCTTCTGCAGACATGAAGACTGTAGTATCTTTTTTTTTCCTGTATAAAAGACAAGAAATAGAAATCAATTTCATGCTATATTTCTCTTTCACTGGGAAGCAGTAAGTCTTTGTAAAATGAGTGAGCTGTTGAGAAACAGCCCTAGTCTTGATGAAGAAAAGGTTATTCATTAATTTGATTTTGTCTTTCATGTTGTTACTTTCTTTTTCTTTTCCCCTGTAGGGAAGGAAGCTCGGAAAAGGGAACTAAAGAAGGTAAATAAAGAAATTAGGGAGCATGTAGTTGGCATTTCCTATACTGTGTATTGTGTGTGTGATTGTAAAGGGCCATGAATAGACTATGGATATTTTAATTGATATCCTAACACTGACTTTGGGAATACTATCCAGACATGTAGTTCAAAAAAACATAGAAGTCTTGTTTGGAGTAAAGATCCCCAGACATTCTTTAACTTGTATTTATTTTTGAAATGTTGCTGGAAGTACTTAGAAATTAAAAAGCCCCAAAATGACAAAGCAAAGAAGCAAGCAACAAACCAAATAAAAAAATCTAAGCATCCAAGAGTCACACATTTCTTAGTGTGTCTAATGTATTTTGTCAGTTGGTTGTGTTGATTGCACGTGACTTAGTTGGAGTGAAGGAATGATTGTAGTATTTGCAATTACCAAGATAGTGGAATTAAAATTACCAGAAGTTTTCACTACATTTGCTGCTGATTTGTGCCATGGTGAATGTTTTCAGGGCATTCTGAGGTGTGATTTTTTTTTTTCTTCAGAGTGGAAATACTGACACAGGGTAACAGATGTTTTGTGTCTTTCTACTGTGAAACTTTTCTGTCTGCTTGATCTCTGATCTTAGAACAAAAAGCAGCGGATGATGGTCCGAGCAGCTGTGCTGAAGATGAAAGATCCGAAGCAGATTATCCGGGACATGGAAAAGTTGGATGAGATGGGTGAGTGAGTGAGAGGTACCAGGTGCTGGACTTAGGCCATGGTTTATGGAGATGCACAGTGTAGTTTTGATTGCCAATGGGGGAGACTGAAATAGAGTAGTTTTTTTTTCCTTTCCTGTAAGAAGGGGGGATTGTGTATCTGGGGATTGATTATGATTTGAGATGTTGTGGTGCCATCAAAGAGGACATTTTTCCCAGAAGATGATTGATAAGAAAATCAAGTAGTGTGTGTGCGTGCTGCTAATGTAGAATTCAAGGAGGGGATTGTCAAAAGGCTGCAGACTTCCTGAAAACAGGAATTGGAACTTGCTTTGAAATAGTTCCATTCATCACAGTTGTGCAGTAGAGCGATTTGCAAATTTTTGTCGTTTTGTTTTGCTGTCTTGGATCAGAGTTTAACCCGGTACAGCAGCCACAACTTAATGAAAAAGTGCTGAAGGACAAACGCAAAAAGCTCCGTGAGACTTTTGAGCGTATCTTGCGTCTCTACGAGAAGGAGAACCCTGACATCTACAAGGAGCTGCGCAAGCTGGAAGTGGAGTACGAGCAGAAGAGAGCACAGCTCAGCCAGTACTTTGATGCTGTCAAGGTAACGCTTACTGTATCTCAGTCTTGTAACTGTGGCAGTGTATTCTGTTTGCTCATTAGGTGTGACTGTCACAGAGGAAGGGAGATTTGTGTGAGTTCAGCATCACGTGGCCCATATGAAATATTAATTTGCATGGTACCTCAAATTAGAGCATTTCAGTGAGGACAGTGTGGTGGTTGTCAGGTTACTGTTTGTCTCTGACATGCTGATCTCATTCAAAATGAAAGGAGGAAAGGGAAATTTGTATTGCAAATCAACAATATCAGCCATTTGTTTTCTGTATTAAAGAGAGAGCGAGCTCGTGAGTGTGCAATTGGTATTTCTGTGAATTTCTGCTAAATCTCTTGCTGGAAATAATGAGAATTCTTTGGCATTCCTTTAAAAACCTTCCTCTAATATTCCTCCCTACCATGCTGGAGAACATAGTGTTTTGCAAGTGCAAAATTCTGTAAGACTTCTTTTTTTTCCTCTCCTTTAGAACATGCAGCAGTCTGTGACTTGAATACTTAAAAAACACAAAAGCACAGCCATGCTCTCCTGCAGTCTCTTCATTTCGTAGACTGAAGGTCTAAAAGAAGGTGAAAACCTGACTGAGTTTTGACTGAAATACTAAAGCTTTTCTTGGGTGCATTGCAAGTTCTTTGGTTTGCATTGAAGGCTTTTGCCGTTAACACTTTCCCAAATTTCTTTCATGGACTGCTGCAAGATAACACACCCTAAGAACAGGCACATTTGACAAGTGGTGGCAGGTTCCATATGTTCTGTGCTTTAAAAAGTAATGAGATTGTGCAGTAGCTTCTGTGGAAGTAACCTATTCTCTTTTTCTATTTTCCCCCTTCCCTTTCAGAATGCTCAACATGTTGAAGTGGAGAGTATCCCCTTACCAGATATGCCTCATGCTCCCTCCAACATCCTCATACAGGACATTCCCCTTCCAGGGGCTCAGCCACCTTCTATCCTCAAGAAGACATCAGCCTATGGGTTAGTGGAAAAATAAACGTATGGGGGAAGTAAAAAGGAAGCATTCATATTATGGGGGAGGAGCTAGGGGTAGAAGTAGAGGAAGTATTAACTTGTAGGAATTGGGAATTCTGTGCAAGTGAATTGTTCTTTCTTTTAACCAGAGCTCTTCTTAATCTTTTCCCACAATTAGAGCTTTTTGTTTAAATTTATTTGAGTAATACATTATTCCTTCTAGTTTTTGTCTTTTTTATTTCAGGAATGTAGATCAGTAGTAGTAGTATCAGTTCATATTGGAGCCCTACTGTTATGAACATAATTGCCCCTTAAATTGCCCTATGTGTGTTCTGTTGTCCTGCTGCCATATTCAGTGTATATGGATAGTTAATATAAACTCCTAGTTTGCTTGGTTTTGTTTTGGTTTTTTTTTTTTTTTTCATTCTAGTGCTATTTTTTTCTATTTCTTTCTGAATAGCCTTCTGTTTTTACCAACTCTGTGATTATTTCATTCTTCTTCTGTGGTAGGATTCAACAGCTGATTTTTTCAGTATTGTCTTCAGTTGGTTTCTGAGCAGCTTTTGTCTGATCTTCTTCAGTCATGTCTTTGTATGATGTCGTAAACTCCTTGTGTCAAATCTGTACTTTCTAAATGTTCATGTTTCTTTTTGAGAAGTCTGCATAAGCAGTGGTGAGAGAAGGCTCAATAATTTTACTGAAGGCATACTTGCTGTAATTGTGTTCCTACATTTCTCATTTCCTTTCATACTTCCAGCCCACCGGTTCGCTCCATTTCTGTGCTCCCTCCCCCGGGGCTCGGTGTTCCGCGTTTACCTCCGGGCAGGAAGCCCCCAGGCCCTCCCCCAGGGCCGCCCCCTCCTCAGGTGCTGCAGATGTATGGCCGCAAGGTGGGCTTCAACTTGGACGTGGCACCTCGAAGGCGAGAGGAGGAGATTTCTTACAGTTCTGAAGCAGGTGAGGGCTTCCCTGTTCCTCTCTGCAGTTTTCCTTGACCTCTGTTCTGCTGTGGATGGTCCTGCTGTGAATGCAGTGTGCCCCAGACAAAATGTTCTCTGGCATTATGAATGTTAGCACTATTTGAAGGACTCTTACTAAGTGATTGCTCTCTGAGGGTAATTCAGATAGATTCATAATATCTGCAATTTTGCTACCAGCTGTATTTTTAAATGTTGAAACTTTTAATTGCATGTCTCAGATACGTTTTTTTTAGGTTAGGTTTCACAGATTAGATTTTTTTAGATGAATCCTTAACAGTGCTGGAACACTGTTCATATTAAAAAACCTACTCTCAGAGAAATCATCTATTTAAAAAAAACCCATCAAATAAACACCCCCAAACCAAAACTACAACAAAACCCACAATGAGCTCTGGATGTGCGTTTGCTAGGAGAACATAGGTCCTATTTTTCATGCAGTTGCTGTATCATCCTTAGAAATTTTTGTGACTAGATGAATTAGCTTTATTTCATGCCAGAAGACATCAAAATATTTCAGTGTTGGGCAATTGCTGAATAGAAGTTGATGAATCAGTTGCAGTAGCAGTTGCCTTCACTTTTCTGCTGTGAAGAATTAGCAGGTTAATATGAAATCTTACAGATTTTCCAAAATATCCTTTAAAAATATGTGCTAAAAAGTAAAGGGATGACAGTTTGTCAGTGCTTTTGCTAAGGGGAATGTTGTGACTGCAAACATACACTGGTGTGAAGGAATATTTTGTATTTGGAGTTGATGCATTTCCCAATACTTTGCTTTCTGCAGGGCAGCGAGGCCACGATGATGACATGTCCAGCACCAGTGAAGATGAAGGTTACCCTGAGGATATGGATCAAGACAAGCACGATGAGAGCAGCGATGACAGTGACAGTGATAGGTCAGATGCAGACAGTGAGGGAGAGGACTTCCTGCATCGTGATAATGACAAAGAGAGGGAAGGTGGTGAAGAAAAGAAATCAGGTATGAAGGGGAAGTGAAAGACAGGGAGTTACTTCTAAAGAAAAACACTAATTGAGAGAGCTGAGGGTGCGTGTGCAATTTATTTAGTCAACTAACAATGTTCTGACTCACCTAAATTCCAGCTAAAGGATTTTTAATAATAAATGGGTCAGAAGGAGGCTATCTGGAAGTAAAGCAACTTTCAGATAAACCTGTTTTCTTAAAAGTTGAGTTAGCCTATAACTCGCAAGCCATTTTTCACCTGAATCATTGCAAAATTAAGCCTCAGTATAAAATATGCTCACTTGCTTGGGGGAGACCTGTTGGTAGAGAATACTTGGTTAGCAAAACTTGAAACAGTCAGAAACACCAGTGCAAACTCTAATCTAAGAAGCATCATTATGTTAGACTGATGGGCTTTCCATACCAGGTATCAACATAGCCATCTGATTTTGCTTGTTTTCTCCCCACTTCCTGTCACCCTTACCCTGCTTTCCCCAGGTCACAGTGTCCGGTTTGCAGACATGCCTGGCAAGTCACGAAAGAAGAAAAAGAACATGAAAGAACTGACTCCGCTCCAGGCCATGATGTTACGAATGGCAGGTGAGCCAGGTGGATGTAGTATGTGGTGGGATGCCTTTAGGCTTTCAGCTAAGGTTTCTGTGGGCAGCTTACTTTGCACAAGTTTTATTTTATAGACTAAATATTTTACTGTCATAATGTAGCCTCTGCTGAGAGTATCAGCTCTCATTAGGTATTTGAGTTATAGTTTGGTTTTTGCTCTTTTTTTCTTTTGTTTGTTTGGGTTTTTTTGGTTTTGTAGGTTTTTTTAAAATTTATTTTCAAGTAATGTGTGTGTTTTGCATAGCAGAGTTGAAGTGAGGAGTAGCAATTTATTTTTTTTTTTCTTCTAAGCCTTTTCTCAATTAGCTTTTAAACAGTTGTTCAAATGAAGTACAAATCTCTTTCTGAAAGAGAAAGGGTAACATTGTGTATGTGCTCAGCATTCAACCTGTAAGGATTTGTACTCCCTCAAAATACCTTTCTGTTGAGATAAGTTAACCAATAAAGCAAACTTTGTTTTAAAAAGAAACTCCAGTATCTTTCAAAGGTGCAGGAGTTTCTTGGACATGGGGATTTTGTTTATTGTGGCGTTGTGTCCCCAACCCCCCGTTGACTCGTCTCCCCACAAACTCCTTTAAGGCAGAGATTAAGTAGCAGAACTTTGGGCTGGTAGTACAAGTTTCAGGTCCCAGGGGAATACACAACTCTTGTTGTCAGAGCTCTCTCTAGAACAGCAATGGTTTTTCTGTTATTATTTTTATTTGTTTTCATTTTATGTTTACCTATAAAAGTGGTCAGATTTCTTCGCTTTGAAGTAAGGTTTATCTTTCTCTTGTTTCTTTTTATTTAATTCTGTGTACTCAGTTTTCTCTGATGTTCACAAAGATGTTATGCGTAGACAGATTTTATAAGGGTATCATCTCCATATCTAGGCCAGGAAATTCCAGAAGAAGGGAGAGAGGTGGAAGAATATTCAGAAGAAGAGGAGGAGGAGGAAGAGGACTCAGAGTCTGAAGAGACTTCACAGCAACAGCAGCAGCAACAGCTCAGTGAGGAGGCACTTGCAGAGACCGGGTCATCCACTGCGACTTCCCAGGCGCAGCAGCAGCAGCAGAGTGCCCAGGCTGTGCCTCCAGCTCAGATACAGGCACCTCCCATGCCTGGGCCTCCTCCTCTGGGGCCACCTCCAGCCCCTCCACTGAGGCCCCCAGGCCCACCCACCGGCCTTCCTCCTGGCCCTCCACCCGGTGAGTGCTTGGTTTGCCCTGCTCTGAGGGATGCAGGCTCTCAGGCAGTGCTGTCAGTGTGGGACTCCGGAAGCTGCACAGTGGGTTGCAGGTGGAGTATATGTAGCCACTTAGTGAGACCTGGCTGTCATCAGTCTGCATCATTGTTGCTGTACCTTGCTTTTGAGGCATCAGGCTCCTGTAGCTGTAGCCTTCCTGATGGTTGTGTTTGTTAGAGACAACACTGGCAGACAGCAGCAGAGCCAGTGTATGAAGTGGAGTAAAAAAGCAAAAGCTCCCTAGTCGAAAAATCAAATGCCATAGAAAAAGGTTTATAGCTATTTAAATTCTAACAAACTCAGCTCAGAAGCTGTTACCAGTTACAACTTAATTATATAGGGAGGAACCCTTTTTCCATTATACACTTTACCTTCATAAAGATGCTTTAACTGTGTAACTGCTGCCTCTGCTTGAGATTTTTACAAATTCTATTTAATCTGGCAGCTAGGTAATACAGCTTTCATTGGTATGTCGAAGACCTTTATCCTTAGCTGATGAGAAAGTTGCTGAGACATGTTTCTAACTGTGAATTAAATTTCTTGTTTGTTACATGAACGCTTTCAGGAGCTCCTCCGTTCCTGAGGCCTCCGGGGTTACCAGGGTTGCGTGGGCCTTTGCCTCGGCTGCTGCCACCTGGTCCTCCCCCGGGGCGACCGCCTGGTCCTCCCCCAGGCCCCCCACCAGGCCTGCCCCCGGGTCCTCCTCCACGTGGTCCTCCTCCTCGTCTGCCCCCTCCTGCCCCCCCAGGTAAGGGGTTCTGTGTGTCTCAGCGCCAGGTCCCTTCTTGCTTTCTTTTCGCGGTCTTGGCTGTGGTGATCCAGCCACTGAGGCATAATTGGCTGCCAGTTTGCCTTTGTTCCTGGCTGTGGCTGCATTGTGCCATTACATTGTTCTGTGCAATAACAAGGAAGTGCTGTGCATAGTTTGGTAGCAAAAAATCTGCCCTGAAAAAAAAAGGGAATTTCAGAGTTTAGATTTTTACTCTGCTGGACTCTTTCTGAAGAGCATCTGGGTGCTGTAATGGCGCTCCACTAAATGATTTGGGGATCTGAATATTTATTTTTTGTGCCTGGGTCAGACACTTCTGATGACTCTGAAATTCCAGTTGGATGGATTGTCAAGAAATTTTATTCTCAGATTATAACTTTAAATTTAAAAGGGAGTGATTAAAAAAAATCAGTTTTTAAATTTAAAAATTAAATTTAAAAGGGAATGATAAAAAGCTCCTGTGGCTTTCAGAGCCTGAAGAGAAGCATTTTCAACCCAGCATTTAGTGCAGATTTGAAAACCTTTTTTTTTTTTTTAAAACCAGTGCTGCTGCATCTTGTTGGGGGTTGCTTCGTTTTGCTTTTTGTTCTTGGCATTCTGAGCCTGTGCACTTTTTTCCTCCAATATTTTGAAATTTTCAGATATGGAGACAGCTCTCGCTTTCTTCTTCCAGGTATCCCTCCTCCTCGCCCAGGCATGTTACGGCCGCCCCTGGTGCCTCCCTTAGGCCCTGCCCCACCCGGGCTGTTCCCACCAGCTCCCATTCCGAACCCTGGGGTGCTGAGCGCCCCGCCCAGCCTGATCCAGCGGCCCAAGGCGGACGACACCAGCGCGGCCACCATCGAGAAGAAGGCCACGGCCACCATCAGCGCCAAGCCGCAGATCACCAACCCCAAGGCGGAGATCACGCGCTTCGTGCCCACCGCGCTGCGCGTGCGCCGCGAGAACAAAGGCGCTGCCGCCGCTTCCCAGAGGAAGCAGGAGGATGAGCCTGCCCTGCCCTTAACCAAAGCTGCCCCTAAGGCTGGCGCGTCTGCCCCTATCTCTGTACAGACAAAGGATGATGTGTATGAAGCCTTCATGAAAGAAATGGAAGGTCTCCTGTGACCTGTCGTAGTCCTGGTCAGCTTTCCTGCCCCTCTCTGAACGCTGTGGAGGGAGAAGAAGGGAAAGTCCTCCTGCAAGCAACGAAAGGGCGTGACTGGAAATAGTTCCCTACCCACAGGTTAACTTGCCAGTGTGCTGTGAGCAGAGACCGCTGCAGCTGAGGTGTGCCTGGGCACCTCCTTTCAGAGCCACCGCGTCCACCTGGGCAAAGGAGATTGCAGTAAAGGAGGCGATGCTGCTCCCCTCAAGTCCTCCCCCTTCCTTTGGATGCTCTGGGGACGGGGGTGACTATTCCCTGCCAAAATCCCCAAAATCCTTACACACCCTGAGTGCTCTGGTGAGGGTAGTGGAACAGGTTTTTAACGAGCCAGAAAAGCGTTAGCAGCGTTTCATACACAAATGGTTGTCCAGTTTTTATTTTCTGTACTGTTGTTTTTTTTTTTTTTTTCTGTAAATATTTTATAATCATGTTTTTAGTTGCAGTGAGGTTGATCAATCATCTTTCTTCCAGGGTAGTCAGGGAGGTAATTTGTTGCGTATACTGTACACTGGAGTTTTGCATCCTATCCCCTTTATGGTCATCTTGATGGGATTTTGTTGGCTGGGGAGACTTCATTTTGTCTTGTGAAAGACAATAAATGTTCAGTGTATCAAAATACCACTTTCCTTGTTATTTGTGAGAAACTAGCAGGCAGGTGGAGAGGGAGGGAGGAGGGTTCTTAGCTCACCTTGAAAGATGATAGAGGCATTCAGAACCTCAGAAAAGTAATAATCACATTATAAATAACATACTTACTTTTTCCCACTAAGCTTCTGCTATGTTCTTATGTTCCTAAACATCCCTTTTAATACACATATCCCTGGATATGGAGATGATACTCTTATAAAATCTTTATTGGTAGGTAGTAAAAACTTAAATCCTGATATACTACTAATAATTACAAAACAATTTATTTTATTTACTCTGATTGGGAGGTTTGCTTCATATCAAGCCTCAGATAACTGCTGGGTGCATCATGGACAGGCTACCTTAGTAAAAATTAGTAAACAATTTTAATGTTAAAAGATTGAAATAATTTTAGTTGTGGCTAATATTAGGATAGCAGACTAGCAGATACCTCAGACAATATGTTTAGTTGGCTCTACGTTTCAGGCTTAGCTGAATGCACTGTGTTTTGAGGTTAAATCTGCTTTAAGACAAAGTTATTAGCTAACCAAACTTACACTTGAAAACTTTGAATCTGTTTTCACAAATTTCACAAATTCTGGACACAATCAAAAATTTACATGAGCCCACCCACCTAATGCATATTGTGTGACATAACTACACAATCCTTGAAACACGAAATTCTTTGTATATTAAGCAACTTCTGTTGTGGAAGTTAGCTGACGACATCAGTTATGTTTACCAAAGTTGAGAAAATTCAGCTTGAAGTCAGATAATTCAGTTTGAAAACACCAATGTGAGTGATTGCAGCAGTACTGAAGTAATTTGTCTCTAGAATCAGAGAAACGTCATGTATCATGTACATTATATATACAGCACTACACATATCAGTAGTGCTGGGGTGTAAACGCTCCTACTGAAAGTAAAGCTTCTCTTTTATCATAACAATAACACATTTTTAAAGTAGCCCTGCAGGTTTAAAATACAGGATTATTTCTGAACCGACAGCCATAGCATTGAGCGGGGTTTTCCTAGTTCCGGAGAAGGCTGCTGTGCTCCCGTGTTCTCCCGAGCCGGCCGGGCTGTGCCCCTGCGCTCTCCCGGGCCGGCCGGGCTGTGGTCCCGTGTTCTCCCGGGCCGGCCGGGCTGTGCCCCTGCGCTCTCCCGGGCCGCCCGGGCTGTGGTCCCGTGTTCTCCCGGGCCGGCCGGGCTGTGCCCCTGCGCTCTCCCGGGCCGGCCGGGCGGAGCCGTTTCCCCGGCGCTGCCCTCGCTCTCGGAGCGGGGCCGGGGCCGGCTGCGGGGGCGGCTCCGCGGGTGCGGCCGCCGGCGGCTCCCATTGGTCGAATTTGGATCCGCGGCGCCATTGGTCGGAACGAGCCGGAGCGCGCCGCAGCCAATCAGCGAGCCGGCGGGGCGCGCACAGAACCTATAAAAGCGGCCGCGCACGGGGCGCGGAGGCACGTGACCGCGTCAGTCGGTTCGTGCGGCGGTGTCGGAGCGGCGGGAGTGGGAGCCATGTCGGGTCGCGGGAAGCAGGGCGGCAAGGCGCGAGCCAAGGCCAAGTCGCGCTCGTCGCGGGCCGGGCTGCAGTTCCCCGTGGGCCGCGTGCACCGGCTGCTGCGCAAGGGCAACTACGCGGAGCGCGTGGGCGCGGGCGCGCCGGTGTACCTGGCGGCCGTGCTGGAGTACCTGACGGCCGAGATCCTGGAGCTGGCGGGCAACGCGGCCCGCGACAACAAGAAGACGCGCATCATCCCCCGCCACCTGCAGCTCGCCATCCGCAACGACGAGGAGCTCAACAAGCTGCTGGGCAAGGTGACGATCGCGCAGGGCGGCGTGCTGCCCAACATCCAGGCCGTGCTGCTGCCCAAGAAGACCGACAGCCACAAGGCGAAAAGCAAGTGAAAAAATTCCGAGGAGCGCTCCCAACCTCAAAAGTAACCCAAAGGCTCTTTTCAGAGCCACCCACTTCCTCATAAAAGGAGCTGTACATCCTAGCAATAAAACAAACTAAACACCTCCCTTCCCCCTCCCCTTTCTCAGAAAGCCTAAAATGTAACTGAAACGAACAATCCCCCTAAAACACCCCAAATCCTTTTAGTCTTAGCTCTTGGAAAAAAATCCAAAACCAAGCTGCTCTAAATACTTTGCATCTTAGCTCTTAAATTATGATCAAAACTTTGAAAAATCTACTGGGTAGTAATAAATCACTTCATGCTGATGAAAGTTTGCTAAGATTGTAGGAAAGAACCCCCACCCCCATCACGCCTCTCCTTTTTCAGCTCGACCTTCTGTGAAGTTCGGGTAATTCACTGATGTATTTAAAAACAGCCCTGTCCCCTCTGAACAACTTTTATACTTTAAGATAACATAGGAAGTTTCTCGTCTTCGTTTGGGTTTTTTTTTGGTGGTTTGGTTTTGTTGTTGTTTTGTATTAAAAGGCATTCTGAGTTACTAATCCTTATTTCTCGTTAAAAATCTAAGCTGCTGAGCCCATTTTCTGCCTCAAATCTGAAGGAGTTTGAGAATAATTGTTCTTCCCAACACCCAGGCAATCTGAGGTGAAAGGGACTGTTGCCAGTTTTGATTCCATCTTCTACATAGTGCTAATTATAAACCATAAATATGCTGAAATATAAACAGAAAATCTGCTATTATTGGTCAAAAAACATATTTTATAATTATCCATTTGAAAACATAAATTACATTAAGCATAACATTGTCCAGAATTTTAGTATCACCAACAGTTACAATATCAAGAGAGGGAAAGGAGGTTACAGGCCTTTGTCAAAACAATGGGTTATAGGCAGTAATAAACATGTCAGAGAATACTTCTTTTTATGCTTGGTACTCTGAAAAACAAAGTGCATTTATTTTTAATTGAAGCTTGGTCTTGGAAAAGAGCTTCTGAAGAGTGTCCCCCCTCTTGCTTAGCAGCCAGCTGTTCCAGTGCGGCAGATCCATCAAGACACGCCGTTTTTAGTATCAATTCCAGTGTAGGGAGCAATCACTGGACAGTAAGAAAATGGAATATTTAGGAAATTGCTGTGAAAGAGGAATCCTGACTGATCACTCGAGCAAGTTTTAATTTGTTCGAGTAATGGGAAAATCAGCAGCAGCAGTGTCTCCTTAACAATGATGACTCAGATTTTTGCCAATCCAGCTGTATCAAAATAAAAACACTGACATACTATGAAATGAGAGGCCACTGGTTATTATTATTAACAAAAATTGGCCGTGTTAAGTTTTTATGTCACCTAATTTATTGAGAAAGTGAGTATTTCTGTGGCAGAGGACGAGGGAACCATGTCTGCATTGTGTGCACTGAGCAACACAGCACAAACTGCAGTGCTGTAAAAAGTCGCCTCCTTCGGTGGGACAAAAAGCCCTTCACGGGACTTTAACCCGCTCCTTGCCTTGCTGCAGAACGCACCAATTTAATTTCTCTTCATTATTTTGAAAGAGGTAAATGGTTTTGGACAAAGGAGCTAATTTCTAATCCATATTCAGTGCTCAGGATGAGCCTGTGTTACTTACTCCTCTTTGAAATCAAATTGCGACTAAAATATCGATCTAAATCCCTCCTTTTCAGTTCAGATTAAGAGAAGACCCTTTAAAGAACATTAATTCATTACTTTGGAAATCTGGTTCCCCACATCGCGGATTTTATTTAGAAGGAAAAACAAAAGTTTCTGTCTCCCGAGGTCTGTTCAGGTCCAGGACTCGGTGTTTATCGCCTCTTTTTTAGCTCACCCGTTGCCTCTTCGAAAGGAAACTCGGCCGAGGGGAGCAAGAGTCTTTCTTCTCCACGCCGCCGCGAACCGTGGGGGGGTCGGTGGCGGAATTTCCGCTAAAAAGGGCCCTTTTGGGCTCCTAAGAAACACAAACCGAGCGGGGCGAAGGCACCTTCCAGCCGGCGGCCGGGGCGGGCCCTGCAGCGCACCAATCAGCGCGCGCCTCGCTCTATAAAAGCCAGGCCGCCGACTCGCTGCAGGCCCAGTGCTCTGCCCGGCTCCGGACCCGGCCGGCACCATGTCCGAGACCGCGCCCGTCGCCGCTCCCGCCGTCTCCGCGCCCGCCGCCAAGGCCGCCGCCAAGAAGCCGAAGAAGGCGGCGAGCGGCTCCAAGGCCCGCAAGCCCGCGGGGCCCAGCGTCACCGAGCTGATCACCAAGGCCGTGTCCGCCTCCAAGGAGCGCAAGGGGCTCTCGCTCGCCGCGCTCAAGAAGGCGCTGGCCGCCGGCGGCTACGATGTGGAGAAGAACAACAGCCGCATCAAGCTGGGGCTCAAGAGCCTCGTCAGCAAGGGCACCCTGGTGCAGACCAAGGGCACCGGCGCCTCCGGCTCCTTCAAGCTGAATAAGAAGCCGGGGGAGACAAAAGAAAAGGCGACCAAGAAGAAGCCCGCAGCCAAGCCCAAGAAGCCGGCGGCCAAGAAGCCCGCCAGTGCCGCCAAGAAGCCCAAGAAAGCGGCGGCGGTGAAGAAGAGCCCCAAGAAGGCCAAGAAGCCGGCGGCCGCAGCGGCCAAGAAAGCGGCCAAGAGCCCCAAGAAAGCCGCCAAGGCCGGGCGCCCCAAAAAGGCGGCCAAGAGCCCGGCCAAGGCAAAGGCCGTGAAGCCCAAAGCGGCCAAGCCCAAGGCAGCCAAACCCAAAGCGGCCAAGGCGAAGAAGGCGGCGCCCAAAAAGAAGTAAGGTGCCTGAGAGAAATTGAGTCTACTCATCTAAATAAACCCAAAGGCTCTTTTAAGAGCCACCCACTTACTCTCAAAAAGAGCTGAAACACTATGGTCCTACACCATCAGCCCCAAATCACTCACAGATTTCGGTGGGAGTTTACAGGGCTTTAATAAAGTTCAGATTTTGGGTACGAGTGCGCTCTGCAGCGCCTGCGTGGGAGATTGTGGCTCCCTTTAAAAGGCAGCGTGTCCCTTGGTGCGTTTGGGAGCGCTGCGATACCAGCCGTGCCCGCCCCGCCCCTGCCCATTGACCGGCGCCGCCCGGAGCGGAGGGAGGCGGTGTCGGTGGAGCGGCGAGCGCCCTTTGCTCCGGTGCCCGGGGCCGTTTGAAAGTGCCGCCCTGGGCCGCGATTGGGCCCGCGCCGCCTTCCCGCCGCTCCGCCCTCCGGGGCCCGACCCCCCCGCGGCCCCAGCCCGGCCGGACGGTGACGCGCGGAGCCACGCATCGCCCTCCCTCCTTCTTTCCCTCGCTCCCTCCCTCCCTCCTTCTTTCCCTCGCTCCCTCCCTCCCTCCGAGCTGGGGGGGCTGGGTGAGGCGGGCAGAGGGACGCAGCACGGACGGGAACGTGCGGGCCGTGCCGCGGCCCCGTCCGGCGGCAGCTGCAGCGGGGCTCCGGTGCCGCAGCGGCGCGGCGGGGCAGGAAGGGCTGCGCCCCACGCTCCGGTTCTCCCCGGCTCCCTTTAAATCCTACAGTAAATCACTGAGAGCCCTTTTCTCGGCAGTTATCTCCTGCGTGACTCTGGGACCATGGGTGTTTTAAGCCCGAAACGCCGCCGTTCAAAAAATCTAATCCTAGTAGTGTACAGACCGCCTGTAAATTAAGCCGCCAAGACAGAAAAAACCTTTTATTTTACTGCTTTAGTGCATTTAAAGTGTGGGCTACGTGTTTTGCGTAAAAGGCATTTAACCGTAGAAAATTTAACCAATTTCACCTTCCCCACGGGACTTGGAATTGGACAAGTTGTTGCTGCTTTTTAGTCCCTTTTGAGAAGCAACCGGATTAGAGGTTGTAAGCAAGTTGATATACCGCGCATAAACAGATAAACTTTCTGAAAATATTAGTAAGTACATTTAAACTTGCTAGAGCACAAAGTAATCTAAAAAATTAACGTGCAAATGTTCAGCTATTTACATACCTCCCCACTAAAAGCACTGATTCAGCTCTTTTATAGAAAAAATTGGTGGCTCTTAAAAGAGCCTTTGGGTTAAAATTGACGATCGGAGACGCCCTACTTGGAGCTGGTGTACTTGGTGACGGCCTTGGTGCCCTCGGACACGGCGTGCTTGGCCAGCTCGCCGGGCAGCAGCAGGCGCACGGCCGTCTGGATCTCCCGCGAGGTGATGGTGGAGCGCTTGTTGTAGTGCGCCAGGCGCGAGGCCTCGCCCGCGATGCGCTCGAAGATGTCGTTGACGAAGGAGTTCATGATGCCCATGGCCTTGGACGAGATGCCCGTGTCGGGGTGCACCTGCTTCAGCACCTTGTACACGTAGATGGAGTAGCTCTCCTTGCGGCTCTTCTTGCGCTTCTTGTCGCCCTTCTTCTGCGTCTTGGTCACCGCCTTCTTGGAGCCCTTCTTGGGCGCGGGGGCGGACTTGGCCGGCTCGGGCATGGCTGCTCTCCCTGACTGCGCGGTCACAGCGGAGTGCCGGTTAATGCGATTACTGCCGTATTTATAGAGCCCTTATGCAAATTGCTGGTATCAGAAAGAAGCACTTCCATTGGACAACTGCCGTAGAGACGTCATTCGCAGACCGAGGTGCTCTGCTATTGGTCCTTTTTAAAGACCACGCTAGGATTGGTCGCTGATTCGAATACTATCAGCCAATCAGAATAACCTGTCTCAATCCCAGCCCTGGTGCCGAAGCTCCGCTGCGGCGCGGCCTCTCCCCGGGCCGGGGTCCCCCCCCAGCACCCGGCGGGTTCGGAGCAGCAAAACCTCCTTAAGGGCATTTCTGAGGAAAGAAAAAAGCAAACCCAGAAACAAACCAATTGAGAGGGGTTCTGCTACTGTTTTTTTTTCTTCCTTTTTTTCTTTTTTTTTTTTTTTTTTTTTTTTTCTACAAGAAGGAGCATATCTTCATAGAACAGTCTGTATTTGTAACAGCCACGAGATAAATGTAAAAGGGAAAACGATGCGACCAGGAAAGATATGGAGTCTGGAATACAAGCAATGCCAATCGTGTTTAGAACTAATCCTTTTGGCCCATAGAGTGTGGTTTCTTTTTCATGAATTTAAATGAGATGGAAGCTGTGATTTACTTTGTAACATTAAATGATTGGATTTCTTCTCAGATGGAATAAGTATTGGAAGTATGTGTTTAAGCCAAAACCATGATAACCCTAAAAATTAGATATGGATTTTATTCTGCAGTTGGAAATTATCACAAACCAGAAAATCAAGCTGTTTTCTTGTTAATATGAATTCATTGCGCAAGAGGAAAATATGATTTTATTTCCTTTTGGAAACTTTAAGGACTGTTCAAAGAATGGACTTACCTGGTATCAGAGGAGAAAGGTTTCTTGTGTAGGCTCATGCCACCTATCTTGACAAGGGAAAAAAGAGATCTTAGCAAGCTGGTCTTGCTTCTGCTCTCTTTTCCTTTTTACTGTGCTGAGCAGAGGCACAGATCCACAAAGACCTCCGGTCTGTTTGCAAAGTAGTGGAGTCTGAAGGGAAGCAGACAAAGAAAGAGTGGGATATTTTTCCTTCCCAGTGAGAAAGGCTTGCTTGAAAGTGCTTCTGCTGTTCATATCTCCTAAACTGTGGAGGCAAAGCAGTGTTGAAAAGAGCAGCTCAATTCTACCTTGGTTATCTCGCTGCTCTGCTTTAATACCTGCCCTCTCTCCACAGCCCTGCTGCCTCTCATCCACAACAGGGATCTTTGCTGGAGATTTAGATTAATTTCTGAAAATAACTTTATTTTAATGTGGTTTAATTTCTTATGGGGAACACAGAGAAAGGAACCAAGAAGTCCCAGGAAAAGGTAAAGAACAACTTGGCCATCAAGAGGAGACAGCACATAGCAATAAGGAAAATTGCAAATTTACTGATGATGAGACACATCTGTCTTGTGGTTGGGATTATTTGGGAAAATTTTAAAGTGCATGATGAACCTTAGAATCACATTTGAGAAGCAGGGTTGCAAGGCTGTGGGCAGCTATTGTAGATCTTTCAGTTGTTGAGACTGAAATTTTAGGCATAATTGTATGATTTGCTCCATACTTTGTCGCCTGTAGCTGCAAGGTTTCTATTCTAGTTTTGTAAATTGTTGAGTGTTGTTATCATCTGAAGACCCTGTAACTCCCTGGAGAAACGTTAAATATATGTGTCATTTCAACAGCAAAATTTAAGTGTACTAAAAAAGACCAAGATGAAAAAAAGAAAGCAGAAGAGCAAAGAGGGGAAGGAAGCAAACTATGCATTTTCCAAAAAAAAAAAAAAAGGAGCACCCAAATATATGAACACTTAAAACTACTAAAGATAACTAAGATGATGGAACTCATCAAAATGAATGCAGCTGTAGGACTGCAGTAAGGAAATAATATTGGTTTGTGTTCAAAAAGTAATGTTGAATGAAGAAAAAAAAACAGAGAAAGGAATAGTTCAATAGCTTCAGTAAAGAGTGAGACCATGAAAATCACCACCACATGCCACTTTTTAAAAGCACATGAAGTGTGGTATAGGTTTTTTCATAGGTATAGCAGCAAGAGGCATAAATCAGCTCCTTCATCAACACATCAGACCCACAAAAAAACCAAAGCTATGTGATCATTAAGTCTAGGACGTGGGACACAAAAAATTAATTCCACCACGGTGGAAATTTAAAGGGTTGCCCTGACAGGGAATAAAACAAGCAAACACATGCGTAGCACATTACTCCCGTTTCTGAGCTCTCGGCAGAAAAGGGTTCATTTACCGCAGAAGCGGGACCACTTTGTCCCCTGCCGGGCCGGGCCCTTTGTCGGGCACAGCTCGCGGGCGGCGGCGCAGCGCGGGCGGGACGCGGCTCCGCCGCCCTTGGCCGGGCTGTGCCGCAGCCCCGCGGCCGGCGGGGCCCCGCTCCGTGCGGGCACCGAGAGCCCTCGGGCGGGGCCGGGCAGGCGGGCGGAGCGCGGCGCGCACGGGGAGAGCCCGGCCGGATCCGCTCCGGGCCCCGCCGGGTTCGGGCTCCGGGGGCGGGGCCGGGCCCGAGCCGGGAGCGCGGCAAAGGCCCGGCCCGCGGGGGGAGGGGCGCGCACAGAGAGCCCGCCCCGGCCCGGCCCAGCGCAGTCCTCAAACAGGTCGGACCGCCGCCCATATAGGCCACGCGGGGGTTTGCCTTCGTTCACTGCTTTCGTGCTTCTGATTGAGTGACCATGTCTGGCCGGGGTAAGGGTGGCAAGGGGCTCGGCAAGGGCGGCGCCAAGCGCCACCGTAAGGTGCTGCGCGACAACATCCAGGGCATCACCAAGCCGGCCATCCGCCGCCTGGCTCGGCGCGGCGGCGTCAAGCGCATCTCGGGGCTCATCTACGAGGAGACGCGCGGCGTGCTCAAGGTCTTCCTGGAGAACGTCATCCGCGATGCTGTCACCTACACGGAGCACGCCAAGAGGAAGACTGTCACGGCCATGGACGTAGTCTACGCCCTCAAGCGCCAGGGTCGCACTCTCTACGGCTTCGGCGGTTAAACTTAAAAAACGTAGTTCTAACTTACCGTGTCTTAAATACCAAAGGCTCTTTTCAGAGCCACACACAATTTCACCATAAGAGCTTGTGATTACTGATCTTATATCTGTGTTAATAAGGTTATTAAAAGGGTTCTTACCTGTAAAAGGTAAGAATTTAGAAGTTCTCATGGGGCTAAAGTCATTGGTGGTGAATACGCTAGTGAATGCCCACCCAGTGCAGTTTGCATCACGCGCTGCTTTCTGTTTTTAGACCCCGGACCCTAACTGCGGCAGGATTGTGTAATTGCAGCGCCTGAGCTCGGGCCGTTACAGGACGGAAGTGCCTGGCGTTACGTTGGTACTTTCTGCTCCAATAGGAATGGAGCAATTACGATCCTCTAATTTGCATAACGCCGTTATAAATAAGGGGGGTAGGCGCCATTTTCGATGCTGTTGTGCTACGGGGGAGATCCTGACAGAAAACATAAAGGATGCCTGAACCGGCGAAATCTGCTCCAGCACCGAAGAAGGGCTCCAAGAAGGCGGTCACTAAGACGCAGAAAAAGGGCGACAAGAAGCGCAAGAGGGCAAGGAAAGAGAGCTACTCCATCTACGTGTACAAGGTGCTGAAGCAGGTGCACCCCGACACGGGCATCTCGTCCAAGGCCATGAGCATCATGAACTCTTTCGTCAACGACATCTTCGAGCGCATCGCGGGCGAGGCCTCGCGCCTGGCGCACTACAACAAGCGCTCCACCATCACCTCGCGGGAGATCCAGACGGCCGTGCGCCTGCTGCTGCCCGGCGAGCTGGCCAAGCACGCCGTGTCCGAGGGCACCAAGGCCGTCACCAAGTACACCAGCTCCAAGTAAAAGGATATAAATTATTAACCAAACGGCTCTTTTAAGAGCCACCACACATTCATTATAAGAGCTGTGATTGCAAATACCGATGTAGCTTATGTACTATGATACCCAAGAACAAACAGTATAGGCTACAAATATTAAACAATTCTGCAGAACTCTTACTCTCTGCATTACTAGTTTAAGTAATTACAAGCTCTATTTGTGAAATTCGTGTGTGGCTCTTAAAAGAGCCTTTGGTGTTTTAACAGTGTGAGTTAGATCCAAATTAAGTTTAACCACCGAAGCCATAGAGGGTGCGACCCTGGCGCTTGAGGGCGTAGACTACGTCCATGGCCGTGACCGTCTTCCTCTTGGCGTGCTCCGTGTAGGTGACGGCGTCGCGGATGACGTTCTCCAGGAAGACCTTGAGCACGCCGCGCGTCTCCTCGTAGATGAGCCCCGAGATGCGCTTGACGCCGCCGCGCCGAGCCAGGCGGCGGATGGCCGGCTTGGTGATGCCCTGGATGTTGTCGCGCAGCACCTTGCGGTGGCGCTTGGCGCCGCCCTTGCCGAGCCCCTTACCGCCCTTGCCCCGGCCTGACATGATCACACGCTCCAGTCAACTCCTCACTGCGCCCTATCCGCCTCTCTCAGCGCCGCTTTATTATGCGGGAGCCGACCTGGTTGAGGACTGCAGAAAGAGGCGGGGTCTCCTCTCCGGCCCCGCCTCCCCCGCGCGGCGCGACCGCGGCGCTTTCCCGCTCCCGCTCCCAGCGCTCGCCTCTCTTGGCTGCTCTCCCGTCCCGCCTCGGCCGTGCCCCTGCGCGGTCACAGCTCCCCGGAGCTCCGAGTCTCCGCCCGGAGCAGGAGCCGGGATCGCCGCACCCTCTTCCGGCGCCCCCTTCGCCTCCCTTCCCCACTGCCCGCGGGTCTGCGGCAAAATCCTGCCAATGCGGGCCCTCGCCCTGCGCTACCGCCCCGCCTCTCCGCTGCTCTCGGCCCGCTCATCCCGGCTTCTGCTCCTGCTTTGGACGCTTCAAGTGCTCCTTTTTGATTTTTTTGGTTGTTAGCGTGTGCCTGCATGGACACCTTCCTCGGGAGAATTTATATAATCTCTGGCAATCTTGGCCCCTGCGACCTACAGCTTCTTTTTGTTTAAAACAGCCGGGGAAGGAAACGCTCAAGCCGTGTCATGGCTAGAGGTTTTTTCCTTTATTCCTTTTTCTTTTTTTTAATGTAATGTCGAATTTCCTCAGTGAGGATTAAAACGTGAACAGTCCTGTGGCCTGTGTTTGTTTTAGTGGGCTTTGTTTGTTTGTTTCCCTGGAAACACAAGCACACACATGTGCTAACACATACATCTTGTCTGTCATACCTTTACCTATCCAGGGTATTTTTCACCATTTCTAGGAAAGCTGAAAGCATAGAGCATTATAAAATAAGAGACCATAAGGCAGAAGACATTGTTTGCCACAACATTTTCTGGGAATGCTTCTTACGAGGGAAGTAGGAGTCCTCTTCTTGCACCACACTGTAATGGAAAGACAATTTCAAGTTTCTCTCGTTTGGGTTATCCCCTTGCTAAACATGCACCATTTAAAATAGGAATGCTACTCGTATTTTTACAGTCAACACCAAATACAGATGAATGTTCCAGTACTACTAAGTTTCCTGGATTAAGGCAGGATTGCATAAACTAATAATTTTTTCCTTCCTCACACAGATACTATTAAACTAATTTATATTGAGATTAAACTCATTTTCACAATTAAAAACGTTTGAGGCCACTTGGCATTTTCTTTTTCTTATTTTAACAGCAAAAATTTTCCAGAAATTTCCATTGATTTGGGGTAATAATAAATAATCTTTACAGTTACTAGAGGAATATTGACATAGAAATAAATAAATCTTTTAAAAGTATGAAAATAAGAATTTCCCAAAGAACCTTTTAGGGATTTTGTTTTGGTGTGATTTCTGTTTTAATTTGCAATTAGTCTTCATATTCTGAGAACTCATCATTATAAAATATTTTCACTGGGACGATTTTGTGTAACTTTGAAAAAGAGAAGGAAAAAAATGTACTGCTGTAACAATAGTCTCATTCCCTGGGATCATTCTATCTTATTAATGACTCACACATTTTAGGGTAAGAAATTTCTTTCTCTACCTCCTCTCATTTATCCCCTCAAAAGTGTAGTAGACACATTTTCAAAAAAGAATCTGCTGTCTTTTTGTAAGATAGATATATCCAAACTACTTTTTCCAAACACAGGAAAATAATGAAAGGTTTCTGGATTTGGTTGGTTTTTGCTGGGGTTCATTCATTTGTTTGCTTGCTTGTTTTGCTGTGGTTATCTTTCAGCTCTTTTTCTATTTCCCTCTGCAGCAGACAACTTTGTTCAAAGCTCTTCAGCCTTCTTTTATGAAACCATAAACTTACTGATAGAATCTATTCTATAACTCAGGCAACTGCCTGGTTTGGAATTGTGACTCCAGAGTTTAGGGATGCATCATAGTGCATTCGATTTTCATTCTTCCCTAACATGAGGCCCTCTTGGCTTTCCTGCTTGGTCACTTCCTGATAAGCACCACCAGGAAACCTTCTGTTTGATTCCTACATTTCAGCTGGAGTCTTCCACAGGACTGCGATCCACCGGTGTGACACCCTCCTGTCACATCAGCCTGTTACACTTAAAAAAAAAACATAAAAAAACCCTCAAGCAACAACACCCCCCCCCAAAACAAAACTAAAACCCCAACAAACCTTACCTTTTAAACTCCTGGGGATAAAAAGTTTTAATACTCAAAAATGCTCTTAAAATACAACATATACAGCTGCTTGCAAAATACTGTGTATTATGAAATACCTCTATAATAAAGTCTTGCTGCCATGCCTTCCAGGGCCTTTAAATTAGATGAATTTTATAAGGATGGTAAGAAATTTTTCCCATTTAAAGATGCCAGTCACAGATCTTTGAAAACATATAATGACTGCATGCACACATGCATGCACACACATAATAATTGTAATTCAGTCCTCTCTTCATGGAATCAGTATTGAACTCACTTTTCATTTTATTTCTATGTAGGCTGCACTTGTGCTGCTGCTGCTGCTGCGAGGTGAACTCAAACTCTGCATGCACCTGCCTAAACAACCACTAAAACCAGCAAGGACTGGCCTGGAATTGCTGCAGACTCTGTTACAGTTTTCAAGCATTGGATGCAGAGCTGAGGTGACACTTCTGTTCTGGAAATAGTTCTGTGTTGTACTGGCCTACACTGAGAATACCAAAGGAGCCTGAGAGTGACAGATGTTGGCAACTCCTCCATTTTCCTTTGGTGTCTGCATATTTACCACTCTTGGACTCTTAAATGCATCCCTCCTGGAAGTGAACCAGTCCATATCCATGTAGTGATCTTAAATTTTTCCAAACGTGTTCCTTTTCCCAAAAAACAAAACTACAACAATCTGTCAGATGAGTCTGCCTGGAAGAACTGATGGGAAGTTCAAAATTAGCCCAAATAAGGGAAATAACATTTAATTTCAGCAACCAAAAGCATACTTCATTTAGGAAAAAGGAGGGGAAGATAACCTTCCTTAATGTTCGGTTTCACAACATAAGTAACTTGAATTGCAGCTGGCCCTGTCCGTTGCTTAGAAGTGTTCCAATCTCAGTGTGACAAGGAGTCTGACAGATCTAGCTGACTGCAGCAAAGCATTCAGAAATTCTGAAGTGCCACTTATCGTTGCATTGGTGCAGTGGAGATCTTACCTGTTTTCCATACATTATCAGGAGTTGGAATTAATTCAGGAAACCTTCAGACCTCAGCACACTGAATTGGCATCTAACACACACAGAGATTTACATTTGACTTTTTGTTGTTCCTGAAAAGCTGTGTCTCAGAAACACTCTTCTGTTTTGTTTTGTTCATGTGGTTTTTTTTTTTTTTGTGTGTGCTTTTTTTTTTTGTCATGCCTCTCACATCATGCCTTCAGCTCCAGATCCTTATGTTCATTACAGCATTGGCACACTGTCCTAAAATCCATGAGACCATATGGAACACTTACAGAAAAATATGTCATGTGCCCTCTGGATCAATTACTTTCCTACTGATGGCACCACAAGTTGAAGCTCTTACAGGACAGAATTTTGTGTGGCTTCACAGATCCATCCTGATGGATCAGTGCTGTGCTTGGAATAGCATAATAAATGAAAATCCATGTGCAGAGGGAAAGGGGATACCCATAAATACATCAAATACTCCTGGCACTAGATCTTCAGAAACAGAGAGTGATGAGCAAGAATAAAGTGTAGAGAGAGAAGCAATAAGGACACAGAGGATATATAACCAGGTTTTTTAATACCTTAACTACATTTAACCCCCCCATGAGAACAGATGACAGCACAGCAGGGCACAGACTTGGCTGATGTGTAAAGACAAACTGATCATTAAAAAAGCATCTTCATTTAATGCTAAAATGATGCTAAAACCTCACAGTGCTTAAGGGTAAAAGAACATGAAGGATGGGGAACCAGATATGGAACTGAACATTGTCATTCCATGTAAAGCACTGGATAAAGCACCGGAGGTGACCCAGATGAGAGAGGTGAGTAGGGAGCAGTGTTGGGGCAGGGCCACGCTGCCCTTGTCATGTCCCTTGCCACCCCAGTGTCCCTGGAGCTGCAGGATTTGTTTCTCTGATCCCTATCACTCATCACAGACTTAGGTTGAAGCCCCCAGCCAGATGGGCTTACCCTGTCTTGTGTACAAACATGTTTAATTCAAACTCAGTTTGCATTGGTTTGATACATTAATGTTCCTTTAGTTTGTTTTCTTTTTATCACTAAACCCTGGTATTGCCATAACAGCTTCACTTAGAACAGAGCTTTCCATCTTGTGTTACAGGAAACTTTCATTAATTGCATTCTGCATATTCTCATGGAGTATTAAGTAGTTTAGCATAAGTGGCTGGAGTGGTTGTAGCATTAGGCCACAAGAGCTGGCCAAAATAAAAGGTTTTGTTA